ACAGTCAGGACCCTTTTGGACTCCTTTTACGGTCAAGCTCTTGGGGGAAAGTACCAAGTATGGTATGAAGGAGGGGGAGATTTGCCTAATGTTTGGAGAATGTGTTTTTAAACAGGCTCAGAAGAGCTTCATTTACTTCATATAACTAGATAGGCTTATGATTGAGTTGATTTGGTACTCAATTGCTGGATAATTGTTATTTCCTGCAGTGGGAGGAGCTACTGATTATATAGGCAGGACATGCAGCTCCTCTTGAGTAGCATAGTGAGTCAGGCCATGATAGTAAGAAGACCACTGTAGCGATGGGCCAACCGAGGCCTTGTGAAACACTAAAACGTTTAGAGCAGATGCGTCGAATTTGTATCGAGCTTTTGAAACAATCTGACACCCGTCTCTACGGTGACACCTTCTGGCCACTTTTGCTATATCACATGGTGATAATGCTAGTTTTTTAAGCAACGCAGATTTTCCGCAATTCTAACCAGTTCTTAAAAATAACCATAATTAAGACATTTTGGAGAAATCTCCATACAACAAAACAAGAAAAACTCTGACTGTAACAAACAGCGTGTTATCAAATTCAATGCACAATTTATACAATCTACAGAGAAGAGGCTAATGAGCGTATTTTCATAACCACATACGTGTTGTGGATATATACGTAACCACAGTGCCCCATTAATCTTTGTGTTTTATCTACAGTGGAATGACGTGTGAATGAATGTAGCTTGTTATGCTTATGAAAAATAAAGATCAATAAGAGAAAATCAAGTGCTATGTAAAGATTTTTATTCAAAAATATCAATTTATTTAGTTTAGTTTTAGCTTCTTCTTTTGCAAATTGGAAAAAATAGAAAATCATCACATACATGTCTACATGAAACAAGCGTTTCATGTAGACATGTACACAACGGGATTTCTTTTTTAAATAAAGGTGCAGGTTTACAACTTGGCACTAGACTAATGGTTCATGTTACACATGAGCGATGTATCTTTTGACCGCTACGGTGGGATTATCTGTTGCCCTGCGGGTACTATGGGTTTCGCTAACTGAGCTGTCAATAGGGTCCCACAAACTGCCCTTTGCTGTGCTTGCTGCTGCTAACAATAATAATAATAATGATGATGATGACTTTTAAGCTTTCTGGGAGTTTTCGGTGTCACTGGGTTTTTTCTACACACTGTCAATCAAGGTTAGAAACAACAGGCAAGCCGCTTGTCAAAACTGGGGTCAAAAGCTCCAAAAATAGCCACGTCATGTGATCAAGTGACGTGGGCATTTTGAACCACAAAGCAGGCTTTCAAAACATCTGTGTAAGCTCAACACAGCGTCAAAACATCAGCATCGGGCATCCCGTGTCTGGTTGCAGCTCCTCTTGGGGAGTGTAGCCTGTCAGGCCCATGATGGTGAGCAGGCCACAGTGGCTGTACTGCCAGGGGCCTAACTGAAAGGGAGTTAAGGCTGGTGCAGAATTGTTTCATCAGTTGTTAAGTTTAGTTTTGGTTCATTATCATCCAGTTTTTAGCCCAGTCACTGTTACATTCTGCATTAATAATAAACTTAAATTTAAGCCCTTTCCTTAACCGGGTTCACTAGATTTTGCAGATCCTGCTGAGTGGTGTGTAGGTAGATGGCTCATCATCAATCATTCATACTGACATTTCCTTTGATCTAATGTCTCTCTGTGTGTTTATTTATACACACACTCTGTGTGACGGTGTGTATTTCTCTGTGTGAGCGTTGAGCCGAGCCTGCACGAGTGCAGTTCCATGCCTGTGCTAAGGTGGACGTGTGGTGTGTGCATTTGCGATGGTGTGTGTCCGAGCTGTGTGCGCAGGAGAGAGGGTTTAGACAGGTGCCGTGCTGCAGGTTTAATGACCTGAGGTGTGGCTGACTTCTCTTTGCCAATCTGAATCTCTTCCCTGTGCCCAACAGAGTGTGACACAGTCTGAGCGCATGGCTGGTGACAGGTGGGGGCAGGTGGGGGCCTCGTGACAAACTAAGGCAGAAGGAGAAAGTCTGTGTATTTCCTCGGGCTGCATCTCCAGCTGAATGCTAAGTGTTTGAGAAGAGTTCTTATACTGACAGGCAGCAGCTGCCAACATGCACCTTGAAAGCTTGACTAAGCACGTGCTCACAAGCATCATACACGACACTCACACGCGTGCACTATAGCAACAGAAGACAGAGGCCATGGCTGTGTTTTCATAAAGGTTTAACTCAACCACACCATCATCCAAATCCCATCCCTACCCTTTCCCTTTCTCTGAATCTCCACTCCTTGTGGTAACTGAGACCGCAGGCATGCCTCTAATAGCTCCCCCAATGCACCAGCACAAATTGGTTTTCACTCACATGGCTTACCCCCTTCCTGCTCCTCTCCTTCCATTGCTCTCTGTTCCTTGCTTTATTTCTACTTTTCTTTATTTTGTCCTCATCTCCTCCACCCCTGCTCCTGCTCCCTCCCCCTGCTCCTGCTCCCGTCCAGCAGGGCCCACCTGTCAGCTTGTTTCTTTCAGTCAGTCAGTCTTTTCCCAACATAACTGCTGATGTAAGTGCCTGCAGCTCCCGCCCATATGACTGCATAGTGGGAGATGAGCCCTACGTTCAGCTAATGGCTACCAGTAGCTTCAAAACAATATCAAATTGCATTGACGTTGTAGTAATAAATGAAATATGCATCTTACTGTCATCCCGTCTGTTCTCAGAAGCCTTTCATGTCTGGCTGTCAGCCAGAGCGTTTCTCAGAGGGAGCTTTGTGTGTTTTAGCAAATTGCAAGTGGCTTTTTATGCTTTGAATGATGACGCGGGTGTCATTCAGAATACATAAGTGGACAGTGATTGATTCTCATTGAACTCAGGATGTGCATGTGTGTGTATTCCATCGATTGGTGGTCAAGTCCACACATGACTCTAACCATCTAAATGATACACAACACTGAAAACCTGTTTTCTCCACATATACATTTTTTCTTTAATTTAAAAGAGCAACGTCTTATTTTCAAGAAGTACCTCCTTAGCCACATAAACTAGTTAAGGGGGGAGTACACAGGCTGTCAGAAGGGACAGGGTGAACATGTATTGCCTTAGAAGTTCTCAGTGTGATAATCGCAGGCGCCACTAAGCCTCCACAATTTGATTGGGGGGTGTGAGGGATGTGTAGAGGACATTTATCAGCATGACACAGGACACAATGCTCTTTGTTTGATTGGTCAAATTAGTGGAAGCTCATTTGCTTTCACTGCAAAATCCTTTACAGGGCTTTTCTGTTGTGTTAATTAAGCCGGAGCAAGAATTCTGTATGCCACTTGCATACTGGGTTTGCAAAGAAGAGAAGGAGATCGTTGTTATTCCTCTCTTTCTCCTCAGAGGCATTGTAGTTGGGTTCTCTTTTTTTGGGCTTTTTTTGTGATTCGCACCAAAGATGAACTTCTTAAATATATATTTGCTAAAATTAGTTTGGTTTAATTCTCCTCTGACAATTAGCTCGGCTGAATGCAAATTCTCCAGAGTTTTTCCTCTGTGGGAGCTGGACTATTGCCAGCACCCAGTGTTTTGTTGTAGGAGAGATCAGACTTCCTGCAGCAGCCCTCTGATTTTGTCGGATGATGAGAGAATTAGGGTTGTACTAAGTCCGACAATTGCTTTTTCTCAATGTGGGGACAATTTCTGTTGACTTAGGAATTTGCAGTTTTTATATAAGCCTTTAAAAATAAAACCCTTTGAGAGCAAGAAAAGCATTCTCCTCGGGTCTCCTGGGTTAAGTGAGTCCTCTGGTGTTTTTTTAGCAAAACATTTTTTCCTGTGATGTTGATTACAAGTTATTGTATGTATGGGGGGTTTTGCAGTTAAGCTGGAAATATGTTGAGACAGGAGGATGTTTTTTGGGCTTAAAAGAAGCTAAAAAGCAAGGCTGGAAAACCCTCATGCTCTCATTTTTGGGGAGCTGTCATGGGGTTATTAATAAATAATAAATAACACAATAAATCCTGTGCTGACATCTTATTGGACATTTGTGCTTACATGTCTACATGTAAGTTCTCCATTCAATACTTAACCCACCTCTTTTCCTGCTTGTATAGCCTGCCATATGCACCCTTTACACAAACTGAGAATCGCTGGTGCTGTAGCACACGGACTCTCTACCTCTGTCCTCTAATTAATCAACCAAATCAGCCATCAAATAAGGTGCGAACTCCCAAATGTTAACCAGTCTTGTTTCCTCTGAGTTCATTCAGAGACTGTTTTTGTTTTGAAACAACATCACAGCAAAATGCCATGACACAGAGCAGTGCCGTCTCCCACTTCCTCAAAAAAAGCATTGCTCATCTTCCTCTGTGGCCTGTTTTATGTCATTTGCCATTTCGCTGAAGCTTTGTTTGGCCTGCTAGCTTTTAGATGCCGCTCTGGCTGATCTGTTCCACCAAGGTTCAACGTGTGTGCAGCCCGGATTAGAGGCTAACATAAAGTGTTCAGAACTTGGGTTATGTAGCACAATTTCTTTTATCAACATGCTTTATTTGAGGCTTTTAATTGGAGCAGATATGAAATGAAAAAATACAAAAGCATTAGCCAATAGGATATCGAGCATATGATCATGTGACTTGTGACCAGTTGTTGCAATAATCACATGAGAGGAAAGGGCATTGATCAAGTGGGACATACGCAACACTGTATTAGGTCCCTGAATTAGAGAATCTAAAGCACTATAAATAATTTTTTTATGTAAACGAGATCATTGTGAAAGCTTATTAATTAAGTGTTCCTCATCCATGCCTGTAAGGGATATTATTTTTAAATATAAAAATTTTAAATACTTCTCTTTCTCCTAAGAAAATTATCATTACCACTCCGTGGCTGTCGATGTGTCATTGAAGGGGATTTTGTTATAGAAATTCATTCATTTGGTGACTTTTGTTTTTCATTTAGATCTGAATAGTTCATTTCTTTGTTATAACATATGTTTTTTTTATTTGTGTGTTTTTGTTTCATTGTAAAGGAAGCCAAGCTGCGCGAGCTGCTGGATAACAGCACGCTGTCGGGGAAGTTGGAGAGCAGGATGCTGACGGTTGTGAGTGGCACCGACATGGTGAATATCACCTACCTGAACTTCATGGCGTTCCAAGAGGAGATTGCGAAGGTAAAAAAAAGAAAATCATGCATAGCAGCAGTAAACAAAGTAACTACTTTTTTATTGTACATAACCAGGACAACCAAAAACAACCACAGACAGGTGAAGTGAGTAATAACTTTGACCTGTGCAGTGGCATCTCCGGCATCTACAGTGGTGAGTGGGGTATCTTAGCCAGTAACTGGGCAGTCAGGGTGAGGTTGTGTAGCCCTACCCATGTGCCTATACTCACCCATCATGTGGGCAACCAGGCATCATTCACCTGGAGAAAAAGAAGGCAGCAGGATGCACTATGTGAAGAATAGTGCATCGTAATAATTGTATTAATGTAGGGTCTTTACCTTACAATATAAACTGTTTTGAGGCAACTGTTTTTGTTTTGTATTATTTAAATAAAATTGAATTGAATTGAAGGCAAGCTGCCAGAAACAGTGTGATGCTCTGGGTAATGTTTTCCTGGGATTCTTGGATTCATGTGGATGTTAATCTTAAACGTACCACATACCTAAACATTAGTGCAAACCAAGCTCGTGTCTGAATTGCAAAGGTACTCTCTGACGACATTAGAGTTTTTCATAGGGGCAATGAGTCGTGGAACACCGTAAAAAGTGCTTGGGAATGCTTTTAAGGAGCATGACGAGGCTTCCAAGATGTTAACTTTGCCTTCAGATTCCACAGATGTCAGTTCATTTAGACATCTGTGGGATGTGCTGGAAAAAAACTAGTCAGATCTGTGACTCTGCTGCTGATGAATTAGTGAATCTACACCTCGATGGGTCACAGCTGTTTAGGCTCTTTGATGGGGACTTGCTCTATAATATGCATGGGGTTTTAATTTTGTGCCTATTTTTTGTATTTGCTATTAAACTAAGCCATTAAAAGCAATAAATAATATTCTCAAAGAGTGAAAGCATTTCTTAATAGTTGTTTATTTTTAATTGATTTAGGAGGCTTTAGACGGAGGTACCATTTCTTTTTTTAGGATCATGGTGAAAACCTGGATCATAAGTTCATCATCAAGTCATTTACCACTCTGGAAAATTATGAAAAATGATCAGCATACCTACTCAGTATGCATGAACTTCATTTATTCCTGACACATGGCAGCAGAAACTGAACACAAACTTCCAGCCTTCAGCAGTTATCAGCATCAAAGCACAAAGGAGTTCACTGCCGCTCTCTTTCCTGACTCTAGGTGTGTGTGTGTGTGTGTGTTAATGTTGTGTGTGCGTTTTATTTCCTGCAGGAATGGGCAGAAGAGCTTTTCAACCTGGCGTCCAACCTCTTGGTGCAGAACATGTCCAGAGAGGCGTGCCTCGAAAAAGCGTACGTCACCGGATGCATGCACACGCGGACACATACGCACGCGCACATGCAAGCAGTCTCGAACAAAATGTAAATCTACAGTCCCCAAGATAGATATGAAAATCGGGTCTGCAAGCACTAGAAATGTCACTCGTAGCAAGAGTCACATTAGGGACCTGATGTATTTTACATGAACAAAAATGGTAAAATGTTATGTAAAAATCTTGCGAAACCATCATGTAGCATTTACACCTTCACCAAAGCACATTTGTGCTTACATTGTTCACACACTGCAGTGTACAACGCAGCCTGATTTTTCACACATCAACGGAGGAAGTAAGAACAGACGAAAGCAGAATTATCAAAACAGCTGGAAATATGTTTATACCAGTTTATAAAACACCCTGCATGCGTCAGTTGTCTTTTTATTGCTTCCCATATGTGAGTGTGCATTTGTTTGGTGGTGTAGTGTTTGTTTTGTGTTACAGTAGTGACATATAGTAGATTCCAGGCTGACTCGGTGAGCTGAGCTTTGGGTTGAATTGGGAAAAGAGAGGAAGAGAGGGCAAAAAACAGGAAGCCAGTATTTTGTCAGTTCCAGGGTATTACATAAATCACTGATTATCCTTATCAGTGGCTCTATGTCTATGACCGCTTTCATCATCCTTTGCCCTCGTGTCACCTCTGATTCCGAGTGAAGCTCACGCAGAGTGAGCGTAAATATGAACGCAAATCATTTTTTGCTGGACTCTGCTCGCCGACAACTCCCAGCTGTCTGCTGTTTATCAGTGAACAGAAGCCATTAACGTGCACCCCCGAGGAGCTAATTGACTTATGAGACAATAAAACTGGTCATCGACCACATAGTGCAGATAGAGTGGAATAGAACTGAATACAGCAGGTCTCGCGGTCACGTCGGTTGCTCGCAGCAGCAGTTCTTGTACACTCCTTGCTTACAAATAAGGCAATTCTTCGCCATACCACTGCTGCAGCGCGAGGATGCTGCCTCCCTGAAGTGATGTTGATGTTTCTCCGCGTGTGGTTAATTCTCATCGCTGTCTCTTAAAGCAGTGATACTGATTTTGGGTGGTGGGTTTTCTGAGGAGCGGCGTAGCTGGGCAGCTTTCTCATCAACAGGAAACTAAACAGAACCCAGCAGGTTTTTTAAATGACCACTTGCTGAAAGGTGTTGAAATCAGTACAATTATAATTGAATACTTTCCTTGGATAACACAGCCCTCAATTACCAAACATGGCAGGGTTAGAACTGCGTGTTTTACTCTGTGTTGCTCTGTGACTATGTCTGGAAACTTGGAGTTGAGCAGCGTCATCTAACTGCTTATGTCTTTAGCATCATCTAATGAAGAAATGAGTAAATGAGTAACGTCTAGGATTAGCTAGAGTGGGAACATGAAAAAGAACAGAGAAAGTAGTGAGGTAAACAGAAAAGGAGACAGTGAGTAATCTGTTTCCCCCTTTCTCCAGTGTCATAATGAATAATACAAGCATCTCTGAGTCAGATGGGGGCATTGAAAAACACCTCTTCCCTTCCTTGTTTGGGAGCCTTTCAATCATTCTCTTTAAAAAGAAAGAAAGAGAAAATAAAGCCTCATGCAGTGCTACTGGCTAACTTTATCCCAACCAAAACTTTTGTTTACAGCTTTTAAAAAAGAAGAAAAAAAACAACAACTCCCCAAACTTTGATCCCAATTGACAATTAAAAGTCACCAGCCTATTAGCCTGAGGCAGTCGCCAAGTTCTGTCAAGTGGACACTGTAATGGATATTAATTATTAGCCAGCAGCCACTTAAAGCCCAGCCTACAATGATGGCTCCTGTTGCAGCCGAGCTATTTATAGGCCAGGTTACACGCTGCCTGTGCATTGCTGCTGCACTGCTCTGCCCTGCCAGCATTCAAGACTTCCAGGGATTAGCCCACAGTTCTGACCTCCCGTGTAAACGCCGGCATATATATCCGCAGTATGCAAAGAGAACTCCACTCATGCACAGTCAGCCACTTTAAGATATTTGGATACGTGCTTTTTATCTCTTTCCGATGCATTACGTACGAGTCTGCAAACCTGGTCATGGCAGACAGTCATTTATGTCAGTCACGCATGTAAGATCAAGCAAACAGCCCCCACACATACATTAGACCTGATGAAGAGTGTCACTCACACTGAATAAACTGCTATCACGAGCTGCTGCTGATGTGTGCTCTGTGCAATGCAGATACACCCGGCTGAAGCTGCAGCTAAACCCTGAGGGAAGAATCCCCGTCAAGAAGTAAGTCTGTGTGACTCATCCACCCCCCCACCACACCCATCCCCCATCCCCACAACGGCTCTGCTCTTTTCATCGGTGCATAGTTTCCTCTGCCTTTTTGCCTTCTCTCTAAGCGTGCAGATGCTTAAACCTACACTTTGTTTTTTGCATATTTATTAGAATATATTACCCATTCCATCTGTCATGACAATATTCATTCTTGTTCTCCTTATCACCACTTTTCATTTATCTCACGCTGGGCCCATTTCACCCATGTGATTTTTTTATTATTATTATTTTTTAAACTTTAGTCTGTGTCAGTTTGTGATTTATCTGAGAATTTCATTTTGTATATTTCAGTTTCAGTTTGATTTATCTGGAAGTTTGTCATCGCCTCATTGAAAATCCACCTCTCTCCATCTCCATTAGTCAAGTTGAGCTTTCAGGCAGGCGGGCAGCAGTGAACCTCCATGATAACCTCCCTCAGAGCCGCGGAGGAAAGCAGTGGGTGTCAACAGGGAGAGACACTCCTTGCTGTTTAGGGAATTAACCTCCTAGCTAGGAAGACATGTCAGTTTGACTAATGTCAGCTTGATACTGCTCTTCCACTGAGCGTACAGTAAGTGCTGGTGGACCTGCGCAGGCATACCTCTGCAAGCAATTAAAACAGAACCAGACCTAAATGTCCTGCTGTGGCTGCAGTGACACTAGAGTCCACTGTAAATCACTTTTATTGTCTGTATACACCGGAATAAAACAGATGACAGAAGCTTGAAAACACAGATGTCTGTCGGCAGTGTTTTTCCAGAGTTAAATGAACCGAGACGCTGATGATGTGACGATGTGATGTGATTTGAGATCATTTTGCGTTATTTACATGCGCACATCATAAAGAAACATTACATCTGCACGCCTTTTGTTTATTTATGCAAGAAAAAAGATGCTTCTGTTGAGACAGACTTTATAGCACAAGCACAATGACATGATAATAAAAATTATGACAGCAATGATGAAAATTGGTGTGATTTGCAAAATGATACCATTGCCGGGAAGCTTTCTTTCCTCATCTTTGTTGGGGCCTGTGTGGCATCGCATTCATGAAGACTTGTCGCTTTTATGTACACAAGTGGCATTTGCCATGGAAAACTTTGCAATTCACTGTAAGCAGTATTAAAATCAAGATATTTTCCATGTTTAAATGTGAATATTAAAAATATTAAAACTACACTATTTTATCTCAGTCCACCCATCTATCTATGAGAGCAAACATATTAGGAACAGATTTATGCTGCTGCATTATTGCACAGCTTCCTAATGCTCCAAATAAGCTGAATCAGTAGCTCTCCAACTATTTCAGCATAAACAGAAATTTACTGCGTAACCTTTATGAATGTAAAATTCATTGCAAGGCTGTTAGACTGCAGTATTTAAATCCTGATGTCCCATCTTCTACCCCTCCCTTATTATATTGCATTTCTTTCCCCACACAGGCATCATCTGAGTCTAATATTTGTCTTTAGTGTTGCATTCTGTCCGGCCTGTAGTTTCACCCTTTTTATTTTTTTCCATTGCCTCCTAAGCTGTTGCTACAATATTACATTTTCACAGAATAATCTTAATATGTGTCAGTTAAATGCTGTGACGAATTCATCCGTTTGACACACAGCCTTTAAAGGAGTGAGAATTTCTCTCCGTGTGTGGCATTTTCTGTGATTACTCATAACAGCATGTTTTTTGTCTCCCTACAGTATCTTCAGGATGTTCTCGGCAGACAGGAAACGAGTGGAGACAGCGTTGGAAAGCTGTAACCTCCCTTCTGGCAGAGTGAGACTCCAAAATACTGAAGCTCTCTGTTTTTTTTCTAGTATTACTGTCGCCTCATATTTCCTCCGTCCCTGAACCGGCTTCTGTCTCCATCTCATCCTGTCTCTTTTATGTACAGTTGCCTTCATCTTTCCATCCATCCATCCATCCATTTCTGTTTTGACTATTCAACTCATCTCTTAAAACACAAACTGATTGCGGCTGTGCTTATTCGTCTTATTTTCTGGATATCTGCATGAGTTCCAGCACAGAATGGATTTAGCCTGGGTTGTAATGCAACAAATAGACCCAGTGGGAGCAATAGAGATGACAAAAGCTGTTTTATCGCTACCTTTTTTTAGATGCCACTAGAGAGACGCTGCACCCTAATGCATAGAGGTGCAAACAGTGCTCTGTATTCAAACAGTAGCAAACAATTTTCATCCCTAGAAGTGGGAAACTGCTGTTCGGTGCTGCTCTTAACGCACACTTGATATGTGTCTAGTAAGGCAAACACACTGTAAAGCTAATTGGATTTGGGTCAGGTCACTTTCAGATGTGACTGAACTCATATAACGTGTTTACATTTAAATTACTCACTGAAAAGGTTATATCTTAGGTTAAGTCTGTAGTGAAATGAAATGCATTTTGGATATTCAGCATTTTCAATTGGTTAAAATCAGAATATATAACATACCTGATGCAAAGCACAGGTGTTCTGTGTGCATACAAGTGGGCTTCAGTTTCTTTTTCTGCAGTTTTCTTATCAAATCCCAGAAACACTGATTCCCAGTAAATGGTAAATGGCCTGTATTTGTATAGCGCTTTACTAGTCCCTAAGGACCCCAAAGCGCTTTACACTACATCCAGTCATCCACCCATTCACACACACATTCACACACTGGTGATGGAAAACCTCATTTGTAGCCTCAGCCACCCTGGGGCGCACTGACAGAGGTGAGGCTGCCGGACACTGGCACCACCGGGCCCTCTGACCACCACCAGTAGGCAAAGGGTGAAGTGTCTCGCCCAAGGACACAACGACTGAGACTGTCGGAGCCGGGGCTCGAACCGGCAACCTTCCGATTACAAGAAGAACTGCCAGTAATATAAAATGTATTCAAAACGCAATAAAAGAACCTTTGACCATGTACAATAAGATCTGATGGCACCCTAATTTTAAATGTAATCTCAGCTGATTATAGCTACTTATTATTTTTAATCTGATTAGCGAATTGTGGCCAACTCTGGCTACAATCAATGGCTTCTGAACACAAATCGAATTAATATATATATAAATAAATAAATATACACACACGGGAATACAAACACACGCCCACAGTCAGAACAAGCTATACATAATTAGCATAGGGAGAGAGAGCAGGAGGTAAAAACCGATTGCTGTATGAAGGTCTGCTGGGATTTGCTGTTATTCCATTGCACAAGTAATTACAGCTAAATGGTATTGCTGTTAATCCCTCAAACGCACACACTCCCAGGCAAAAGCACATACACAGCCCAGCTCGCACCAATGTCTTTTGAATGACTCACTGAGTCTCAACAGGGCTTGACCTGCATCCCCCCTACTTCTGTGCATCCTTCCTCACCTCCCTCCTTCCAGGTCTTTTCTAAGACTGTGTGGTTCTGCTCTGTTTCTTGCTGGCAAAATGCTGTTCCCTGCTGCTGAGCACGCTGTGTCTTTATCATACCCGTTTGCCTCTGATAGCTCTATAAGAAGCCCTGACGCTAAGTGCAAATTGCAGGCAGTCATTTGCTGTTTGTTATTTGCATCTCTGCAATTGCTTCAAGAGGGCCAACTATAAGACGGCAGATGGAATGACAGATCTGTGTTTCTTTTAGTCACATTAGTGAGTTAGTGGATAGATGTCTTTACCTCAGCAGTACTCTAACTAGGAAGTCTGCACAACATGAAATTTCTTAGTATGCGGGGAAAGTTTAATAATAAGTAAGTACATTTAAAACCAAAGTTCTTTACGCCAAAATAAAATAGAATAAACAGGTTCCTAAAAAGGTATGGCTATGGCTCACAGGGTTTACATCAAATAAACCAGTAGCTACCAATCCACCAGTCACAGTTCCAGAAATCATCAGTTTCCAAAGGCTTGAAAATATATGTTTTAGTTTTATTTATCTGTGAAACTTCTAATGTGATTATCCCAAAGTTAGCCTGTATTTTAATAATAAACAGAGTTAAGGAGCCCAGGTTATTCTTCGACCTCTCAGTTAATATCTGAGAGCCAAACAATGTGGCATCAGTTTCTTCTATCCAAAATTCACTCATTGAGCCTTCTTGTGGCACAGTGATATCCAAGATCCAAGTGTAAATACAGTTAAATCATTAAGAGATTCTATCTTGTGAATAATTTGATGTAGCAGGAGCATGTGCAAAGCATAAAGAACAGACCCCTCTGGAGGTCCAGATTTTATAATAGCTAATGCAGAAGAGTATTTTCCAATGTTAACTGTTTAATATAGGGTTTAAACCAGTTAAGAGTCAAACCCTTAACTTCTCCACAGTGCTCGAAGTGCTCCATGCGTAACTCAAGGTCAACAGTGTCAAAAGCAGCACACGACTCCACATAATTAAGACAGAACAACCAGAATCTGCAGAATATCAGAATATTGTTTGTTACTTTCAAAAACGCAGACTCAGTTCTGTGAAAGGTCTCATAAACATTGTTCTCGTGTAGGAAGGATGACAAATAAACAAACCTTTCTTAAATTTTAGTCAAAGATGCAGTTTTGATATAGTATCAATAACACTCAGAAGATCCACTTCCAAATTTTTATCCTTTAAGTAGGACTTGACTACTGCATGCTTAAAAGGAACTGTACAGAAGTGAAGTTTGCATTTATAATTCTCAGGACATCACAACCTGATGTAAAAAATATTTCCTCGTCAAACCACGATAGAAGAACAGAAGGGGAACACGTCATATGAGAAACCAAGTCTGACTTCACAGACGCAAATAACCAGATGATAAGCAACAGAGTTAGCTCCAGAAATTAGAATATTTGCTCCAATGTGTCCAACCTTACTCTGAAAGAGGTCCTGAAAAAGGAAATACTACTACAGTGGCTTGCAAAAGTATTCAGCCCCCTTGAACTTTTCCACATTTTGTCACATGACAGCCACAAACATGAATCAATTTTATTGGAATTCCACGTGAAAGACCAACACAAAGTGGTGCACACGTGAGAAGTGGAACAAAAATCATACATGATTCCAAACATTTTTTACAAATAAATAACTGCAAAGTGGGGTGTTCATAATTATTCAGCCCTCTGAGTCAATACTTTGTAGAACCACCTTTTGCTGCAATTACAGCTGCCAGTCTTTTAGGGTCTGTCTCTACCAGCTTTGCACATCTACAGACTGAATCTTTGCCCATTCTTCTTTGCAAAACAGCTCCAGCTCAGTCAGATTAGATGGACAGCGTTTGTGAACAGCAGTTTTCAGAGCTTGCCACAGATTCTCGATTGGATTTAGATCTGGACTTTGACTGGGTCATTCAAACACATGGATATGTTTTGTTTTAAACCATCCCATTGTTGACCTGGCTTTATGTTTAGGGTTGTTGTCCTGCTGGAAGGTGAGTCACCATGGGCCTCTTGGCCTCCCTGACCTGTCTGGTGTGTTCTTTGGACTTCATGGTGTTGTTGCTCCCAATATTCTCTTAGACAACCTCTGAGGTCGTCACAGAGCAGCTGTATTTGTACTGACATTAGATTGCACACAGGTGCACTCTATTTAGTCATTAGCACTCATCAGGCAGTCTATGGGCAACTGACTGCACTCAGACCAAAGGGGGCTGAGTAATTACGCACACCCCACTTTTCAGTTATTTATTTGTAAAAAATGTTTGGAATCATGTATGATTTTCATTCCACTTCTCACGTGTGCACCACTTTGTGTTGGTCTTTCACGTGGAATTCCAATAAAATTTATTCATGTTTGTGGCTGTAATGTGACAAAATGTGGAAAAGTTCAAGACGGCCGAATACTTTTGCAAGCCACTGTATATATATTTTTCTTAAGCAACAGTTACAAGGGATTTGACTAATTTTCAAAACGTGTAGAGCTAAGCTAAATTGGCTAAACTAAATAATTCTGTTTATCCGAAGATTATACAAATATAAAATTCACTTTACTGTGCACATACTCATTACTTTACATAGATATGCACAAGTAAGCGTCTCATAGATAAAGAAGATGCTACATGAAAGATTGCCTTTTTGTAAAGGCTATGTTAGGATCAGTGCATTAAACTGAAAATAGAGTTAAACACATTTTATTTAACTAATAAAAACACAGTTTTGTTGCACTGAGGCGTGCAAGAAAAGTCTTCTCCAGAGCACCTGTCACTGTGGAAAAAGTATCTTTTATCTATCAGCTTGTACATTTTAAATCCACTTTTTTCTTTTGCCCTTCCACAGTACGTCCGAACACTACTGCCTGCAATTTATTCACCTATCTTACTTTTGTCTGCTGCAGAATGACTCCATTCCCCAGGAGGACTTCACTCCAGAGGTCTATAGCATGTTCCTGAGCAACATCTGCCCTCGGCCTGAGCTGGACCACATCTTCTCTGAAGTGTAAGTACTGTGTTTCTCTCTGCTCTCTCTGTGTGGTAATAATAACCTTTTCCACCTCCAAAGAATACGGGAATTCCCAGTTTAAAATGTCCAAAAAAATCACAATTGATACATTTTTTTTCCCAAATCATCTGTTGCTTTTTTCATATTTGTAGCCTCGATAGGAAAATTTGGTTTCCCAGGTTCAAGCCAGATCCTTTTATCCATTTATAAGACGTTAATTAGCCCAGGAAAGTGTGTTCTAATGTCCCTGGTTGTGACTTCTCGAGCCTAGCTGGTTTGGCCTCTCGTGCTGCAGAAGCAGAACTGCCCTTTGGCCCAGAGAGACTGAGACCATCAGCCGAGGAAGCACGCCAGCTCAACCGATGCTACTCCAAGTCATAAATCTGTATTTTAATCACAGTTAAGTGAGGTAGCAGGAGAGCCAGGAGGATGTGGAGAGGATAATTTAGTCGAACAGGCTTGGATGCGAAAGGCGTTTTTAATGAATTCTCATAATTTACTCAAAACACAACATTTAATCCTGTTGTTTTGCATGTCTGCCGCTCTGCCTCGCCGCGTCTTTTTGCGTCTTAATTACAGCTCCTCCCCTCCATCGTTTTTTCCTTGTTTCATTTCCCCATATGCTATTTTTTAATCCCGTCCTTGCACCCACACCTTGCTTAGCAGCCCTTTAAGATGTTTTGTCTAATTTTTTCTAATTTCTGCCCCATTCCTTTCTCTGCTCAGGGGAGCCAAGAGTCGACCATACCTCACAGTGGAGCAGATGACAGATTTCATTAACAGTAAACAGCGAGACCCTCGCCTGAACGAGATACTCTACCCTCCTCTCAAACCAGAACAGGTCCAGCTGCTGGTTGACAAATATGAACCCAATGCTTTGCTGGCACAGAAAGGTCAGTGGCTCAAATTTCTGTCAATACAATCCCAGGCACACTGACAAGCTTATGTGTACACAGACATGCACGTAACACCTTTTAGTACAGATCGACTTCATGATAGTATGCAAGTGATTTATAGTAAAAACTATCGCAAAAACACCGGTACATTATGCCCGTTGTGTGTTTTTACACTGTCCTCCTCCACCAACCCTGCACTCCAGCCGCTGCCACCAATAAATTTGTCAGGGGTGTTGCCATAGAGACTGCTGGATGGTGTCCAAAGCTTTTGCAAGTGAGGGGACATAGTGGGGTGCCGAGGAGTCTGTAAATACCAAACACTCACAGTCAAACACACATCACCGCCATCAAAATGTTCCACCTGTTCCCAACTTGTGCTAAAGTATTGCAGTTGCAATACTCAGAGAATACAGAGTATTGCAGTCCTTGGGATGAATTTTCTGGGATGTCCACTCCTGGGAGGAGTGTGGCATTGAGTTAACACATATTTGAATGCTCCAGACCAGCAAAGTGCCAAAACCTTCCCACCTCCTGACGATCAGTTATTCAAGTGCTATTTACCCTTTTAATTTCACTGGAAGCAGTTTTTCCCAGACTCTGGCAAAGGCTTTCTTCTTCACATGTCTTTATCTGTCTGTGTAATATAATGCAAGGCTTTGTACCTAAAATTGAAAGGGCAATAAATAGTTTGCCTGGTTCCTTTCAAAGGATTAAACTGCAGTAAATCTAAAACGTATAAACCTACAGTTCATTTTTTAGTTTTATGTGCAGGACTTCAGCACCATTTCTTGATCTGCTATCATTTCACTTTATTATGTGTGTTGGCTTCCTAATTGCTGATTTGCTTAATGTGACCTATATGTTGTCTAAGCGGTAACATGTTGTTGTTGTTGTTGTTGTTTAAACGCACTCCTCTTTTTTTCATTCCCATGTTTAAATTGTATATAGATGTCAACCATCTTAATTAATAGAAGGACTTTAGTTTTAATATTTAGAGTATTAGGAGTGATACAGAATAATATATAAAGAAATGAGATGGATGCGTCTTGGTGAGCCAGCACTCCTGGACATGCTGTGCTTTCATGATGTCTCAAGTGTCAGTAGACCCAGAGCTGCCAGTACTGGAAAACATCACACTCCAGATATCAGGCAGCAAGGTCTTATATTTGCCAATTCAAATTTTATCTGTGCTAGAAAAGCATCTTACACAACTGTGCCAAAATGGATGAGTTATCGTACGCCGTGTACGGTTTATTATGAGCAAAATGCTGGGTTGATTTTTCTCCCCATAGTGTCAAACCAATCGCTGCCTTTGAATATGCCATCTATAGCTGTATTTAGATTATTTACTCTATATGTTTAGTTTTGTTAGTATATTTTCTCCTTCAGGGCTTAAAACATCAAAAACTGTTAAAGCTGGGAAGTCATCAATGCACCCGATTTCTTAGCTACGTATTCAAGGAGGGTTGTGGTGGAGAAGGAGTTGGAATACAGATTGATAATTCATCACAGAGCTTCCAGGAGTCAGATACTATGAACCTAATTCTTATCTTCTTTTTTCAGGTTTGTCTTTTGGTGTGTTAGTGTAGTGGTTAACACGTTTGCCTATCTATATGTAAAAACAAAATGCACTTGCAGTTAAAGTTAACGGTATGTCACGTGACTTCTACCTCAAATCAAACTGTGATAAGCTCAGCTGCGACATAAATTCAAATTTTACTAAAGGATTGAGTGAAGGTTTCGACAGAAGTATCGGTGGCTTCAATGGTTACCTCGATGTAGTCGCTGAGAGTAAGTAGTAAGCTGAAAAAAGATAAGAAAGCAGTCAAGTGAACATAACAGGTGGTTTTTACGAAGGGGTCCATATGGCAGAGCAGTAGAATACAGCATTTTTCCATATAAAGCTGCTTATTAATACTTTTTGTCATTATGCTGGAGATCTGGAGGATTAAATAATGCTTTTGTGTCAGGAATTCAAAAAAATGTCTTTGGTGCAAGAAGAGAATGATTATCTAAACATTTTATGGAAACTATACTAAACTAGAAGCTTTGTCTTTTTAATAATCTCCCCTGAATAAAGTGCCTACTTTACTCTGTTTGCACATGTGACCGAATAAATCACGGGTCCTTAAATTAGTTAAAAGTCATTTTTTAAAGCACACATATCCATCCTGACTGCCTAATGTTTGACTCTGATCACAGCCATGTGCTCATACTGTGATGTTGTGTGTTCATCCTGTCCCAGGCTCTCTGGAAGCATGCCCTTCCCTGTCCCAGTGACAGATTTCCCCACGTGAAGTATTTATCTAGCCGGAGGAAGTGCTGCCATCTGCTCTGCAGAGGGGTCCAGAGCTCCACATGCAACCTTCACACACACACATACACATAAACATAGTTTCTCCTCTTTCAAGGACACTCATGTTCGTAAAAACATACGTGGATTTTAGGTGGCATGAAAATTTTAGATACGCAGTCTGTGTTTAGCTCGGGGTAAAAAGCCCCCCTGTTGATGGATAAACAGAAAACCATATGCTTTAACTAAATGTGCTCCAGAAATGTGTGTATTAATGATGGTGAAGAGTTTTAGTCTTTATTAAACGTTTTAATGTTTCACTTTCTCCATTTGTGACTTGGAGATTTTGTTTATTTTTTTATTTTATACCTCTCATTCATGTCTTCACTGCTGAATCACTTTCTGTGACTGTTTCAGTCTGTGCTCTCTCAGATGTTATGACATCGTTTGAAGGAAGATGAATGAAATACAAAATGAAACGAGACACTTGGAGAATTTTTCATAATTCAAGAGTGGATAGTTGGCTTATTCACTTGAATGGTAGAGAGGAAGCTCTCTAGTCTTACGGGTGAAATTCAGAATCCATCTCTGTGTCCAATTTCCTCTCCTCTCAGTATGAGCCGTTATTGTGACCGGTAGCTAAAGTTTTACTTGGCTCAAATCTTCCTGTAGAATTTCTTCTCAGGTTTCACCTTGAGAGTAGCACTTGTATGTTCCCACTCTGGTTCGGCTGCATTACAATCCCAGCCGTGTCAACACAATTTTTCCATGTTTGACCTACAAATGTCTTGAGAGATGGGGAAACTCTTTGTCTGCACGGAATGTGTGATACAAAGGTTAGACCTCAGCCAGGCGAAGGGAGATCCTGGGAGTCAGCAGGGAGTAAGACGCTGAGTGCGACAGAGCTCAGATGTCACAGACAGCAGCCAGCGTTAATTAGTCCAGCAACTCTGCAGAGGGCGGCACCGCATTAATTAGCATAAAGTGGCCAGAGGGACCTGCTGCACCCGTCAAGCTTGCATCACTTAGCATATTTAGCGTAATTTCAAGTAAGTGTGTGTGTATGTGTGTGTGTGTGTGTGTGTGTGTGTGTGTAGGCAGGTGGAGGAAGTATTTTGCTTTGAGCAGCAACTATATGTTCAAAATTTAATTCATGAAGGCAAGGTGTTTGATGTGTATGGTAATGCGTATGGAAATATGATCTCGTGTGGATGGAGATGTGGAGCTTTTCATCAACCGCTTATTACTTATTTATTCAGTGTTATTCACTTTCTCAAGCACATTCAGTGAAGATTAGCTGAGTGATGGCAGCCAACAGGCAAAGCTTATCATGAGTGACCGTGACTACCAATCAACAACGAGGAAGGAACAGCTCCATGGGCAGCTTAGCTTCATCAGATCACTGTATTACTTAGTGATAATAGCAATATTAGCCGAAGCTAGTGGAGCCTGAAATGGAGAAAAGTACATTTATATGTTAATCTACCTGCTGAGCAAAGGGAGCCTTTTCAGACTTGAATTTTAATAATTAGAAGCATGTACTGTAACACAGTATTTAACTAGAGTAGGAAAACATTGAGGGACAGCCCTAAAGGAAACAACGAGTTTCCCTAAATGAAACGAAAGAAAGACATTTACCATCAGTCTCACACCCACTGTAATGCTTTAACCTCCTAGGACCTGGCGCTCACATATGTGGACATCACATTTTAGGTTGTCTAGACCAAAATACCAAATTTTGCTCTACAAGGGCTTGATATCCACTTAAGAGGACATTATACTGCCGCTGTTCTATCGAAATTTAAAGCAGGTTTAAAAAATTACGTAATTCTCTGTTTTTACATTCATCAGGTCCCAATCAGCCCAAATAGCAAAGAGAAATTAAAAATGCATGCCATGAAACAGTTCGGGTCTTAGGAGGTTAAAGGTGGAGAACAATGCAGGCACATGTTTACAGAAAACAAAAGTTGCTTTTATTTTATTAAAGTCACAGGTGAATGGGGATGCCAGTCCATTCACCTCCATTGGAAATAATGTTTTTATAAAAAGTGACTGACAAAAACACGCAAATGTTCTCATAGCCATGTTCAGTTATGTTGCAGTTTGTTAAAAATTTCATGTAAGGCATTGCAAAGGGTGGGGAAAAAAATCTGTGACACATATGCCACCATATGCCACGCACCATATTTTAGCTTGTGCAGTTAAAAGGATAAGGCATTCTTAATGTTTAACACGGTGACAAATCTCATTAAGAAAATTAAATTCCAACATTATGTTACTCCATCTGCCAGTACTTTACATCTTCCTTACCCTGTCTTTGGCACTCAGCCCCTTTGCCCATTAATTTCCACTGGAAAAACGAGACAATTCTGTGATTTAACTTTTAAATAAATTTCTAAAACTTTAGGCATCTGCAAATTTTCTTCAAATCAGAATAACTGCAAGATTTGGCAGATAGCTCTATACTGAGTCAGATGACTCAAGAAAAAGCAGATAAGATGATCACTGCAGTGAACAGTGAAGCGCGTGGAACAGCACGGCTTTTGGAGTGTTTTCACACCTGCACTTTTTAGTTTACTTCTACTCTGATATTTTCCCTCCTTGTTGCGGTTCGTTTGTGCAGATGTGAACAAGGTAATCTGAGTTATTGGATCCCAAACTGCTTTGGAGTTTGTTTGGAATTGGACTGAGGCCGAGGAATCCAGAGCGGTTCATTTGTGGTGAAAACTCAATCGACCCAACCGCCAGGTGTACGCTTCGAGTGTGACCTAAACACCTTCCTGTAGCCTGGTGTGTTTTCTATTCTGCGATCCAGCAGAGCAGCACAGATGCGCAGAGAGTTTCTCTGTGTTATCGACTTGTCCAGAACACCTTTCTGGACAAGTTTACTTTTGTTCCTAACGCTCCAGACTCATCTGACTAATAACTGAAGTGAGCGTTCTCATGTGGTTTGCAGTGACGCAGTTGAGCTCACCTGGAGTTTACTTGTTTTTTCTGTGTGAAAAGAAACTAAACCACAGGAAAAAGACACAAGTCTACAAACTCATCAACTGATTTGGACCAAAGTAAATAAACTTTAGGTGTGAAAATGAACAATGTACAGAATAATCTGTATCAAGCTTTAAATACACAGTTAGCAAATCAGCTCATTGTTGTTTTGTAGTCTTTTTTGTGGAAATTGTTGCCATCTGGAAAAACAGAGAACATCACAATACAATTAGATTTGGACGCTTGAACCAAAAACAATGTTTTCACGCTTAGGATGCTGACTGCTGTTGTGTTCATGCAGGTCAGATCTCAGCAGAAGGCTTCACCAGGTACCTGAATGCAGAAGAGAACAGCATCATTCCTCCTGAGAAGCTGGACCAGAGTGAAGACATGACCTTTCCCCTCTCTCACTATTTCATCAACTCCTCACACAACACATACCTCACAGGTAAGCACGTACACACGTTAAAACTTCTTCTATCAGTCTGCTTGCGCAATCACGTTCAACTTGATTTTCCTCCTGACTGATTGCACAGGGAGATCCTTTATTCTCCCATAAATGAAAAGATCAGTCGTTCATTTAGAAATACAATTATGGTTGAAGTGAATACACTCAACTTTATACCTCGTGGGTCAGTCAATCAAATGCACCCTTGCATATCAGGCTCCCTTTCTTGTGTTACTTCTCAAGAGGTTATCCACTCAAGTCATGCCATGATACTTGATTCATTGATATTCATGAGTTAAATATTTCTTTGGACTGGTAGTCAAAGTAACTCCCTGCGGTGCACAAGCATGGCTGGCACAATAGAGAGGCCATTTTCTCTTCAATGGATATTAGAATTCATCTATTCAAATCTATTCTGGGGGGAACTGAAGAGCATTGAATCTTTGAAGTGGATCAGATTTCGGCAGCGATTGGAAAAAATTGAATTTTCTGTAATAGCCCAGCCTCATAGCTGGTGAAATGAAGAAATGAGAAAAACAAACACGAGGTCTTTTAATTTTCTCCTCACGAACTGTGTTTTTCTTTAGGTATTTTCATAGTGACTCATACTATGCTATTCTAATAGGGAGCAGAAGCGTGTTGCAATGTGGAGTCTATTTCTGTCCATGAGGCATTTGTGTTTCACAACTTCACACACAAAAAGAGCCATGCAGAATCATTAGTTTGATAACAGGACAAGCATTTCATGTTATTGACCCATCATAAATTACATTTTAAAATTAAAGTAATTGTGAGGAAATATTTCACCTCATGGAGTTGCTTAAAGATGTCAATTAAACAAGTTTTTGAGAGAAAAAATGAGAAAAGAGTGAAGTAAATGAATGGCATCACACCAAGTGAGAACATAGCTGCCTCTCACTTTAACACACTTCCACTTATTTTGTGGAAACATGCTGCTAATGTGAAGAGATAATTGCTTCGCTAATGGTGACAGGGTGATGAGATTTGCCTGCTTCAGATAACGACAGTTGTATTGTTTTTACTGCATGTGACGAACAATACAGTTAATGAGCTCTTGAAAAGTGGGAGGATGTGCTTTTGTGGGCATCCTGTTTCTTTTTGGATCAACTTAGCCGATACCTGTAAGAGCTGTTTTTTGTGTTCGTGTGTTCGGTGCAGCCGGCCAGCTCGCAGGCAACTCTTCGGTCGAGATGTACAAACAGGTCCTCCTTTCTGGGTGCCGCTGCATTGAACTGGACTGTTGGAAGGGTCGCACCACAGAAGAAGAGCCTGTTATCACCCATGGCTTCACCATGACAACTGAAATCTCCTTCAAGGTAACACAAGGAGAGACGGTGATGGTGATATACGGGAGGGCTTGGTTGGGGGTTGGGAAGCAAAGGGAACGTTTTCACGGAAGGGTATTCTGCTCAACAGATCATCCACCCACTGCTACTAACCCAACTGTTAGGGTTAATTTAACAATGCTGTGTTATTAAATTTAAACTTAGAATTAAATAACTTGTAAATAAATTTGGTTTATCCGTTACTAAATCAGGTTTAAAAATATCTAAAGAGAAGAACACTGAAAAGCTTATAAATTTTAAAAAAATGCATAAATTCACATATTCTAGATGCAGGATTTCTCCACATTTTATCTTTAAAAAATTCTCAAAGAGTTCTTTCAGGCCAGCTGAATATGCTGTTAGCCATGTAAACGTACTCAGTTTTACAACAAAATGCAGAAGCTTTAACAGAAAAAAAGAATATTGTACACACTGGGAGGCGAGCGTGGATCGGGGCGATCGTGGATCGGGGCGAGCGTGGATCGGGGCGATCGCGGATCGGGGCGATCGTGGATCGGGGCGATCGTGGCTCAAGAGTTGGGTGGTCGTCTTGTAATCGGAAGGTTGCTGGTTCAAGCCCCGGCTTGAACAGTCTCGGTCGTTGGACAAGACACTTCACCCATTGCCTACTGGTGGTGGTCAGAGGGCCCGGTGGCGCCTGTGTCCGGCAGCCTCGCCTCTGTCAGTGCGCCCCAGGGCAGCTGTGGCTCCAATGCAGCTTGCCATCACCAGTGTGTGAATGGGTGGATGTCTGGATGTGTAAAGCGCTTTGGGGTCCTTAGGGACTAGTAAAGCGCTATACAAGTGCAGGCCATTTACCATTTCTCTGTGTTATTTCATCTTCCAATAAACGGATCCATTGTCATAAACTCAGAATTAATCTAATCTGGTTTGTGAAAGCCACCACGTTGTCCTGCCATCATAAAGACAGTGGCCAAAATGGACAGACCGGCCACATACTGTACGTGGCACGCCAAAGGCAGAGAAGAAGAGAACCCACAGGCATTCACATGCTGTGGATTGATTCAAAATATGAACATCATACCTATAATTTATCATCTGAAAAGGGGTCCCTATCACCAAACAAGTGAAAACGCAAAGGACAACAGACCAGTGTTCTGAGAAACCGTCCTACTTTGGCAAGTCATCCTACCCATATGATTATTTGACGGTGACTTCTGACCAACTCTAACCATAACCATAACCATTAGAAATATTTACAATAGCTGAAGGACGGTTTCCGAGCTAGGATGGATTCCCAGAACACCAACGTCTGGAAAAAAGTCACCTTCTCCCTCCTCACTTCACGCCTCATCTCCTGAGCAGAAGTCAGAGCTCTAACACACAAAAATGTTCAAACAGGTTCTTATTTATTCCAGATATTGTCACAGTTACTTATTGCAAGCAGATTAAATATGCGAGCCTCCCCATTCCAGAAAGCTGACCACGAGCCGGCTAAACAACAGCATATGGTTATAAGCTAACATTATGCTAGCTAATCTTCAGCTGGAGTGTCCTAAAAATCACACTTTCCCTCGGATAAACAGTTTTATTATGTTCTTACATCGTGTAAGAAGTTATTCAAATAAAGCTTTGCTAATGCTAGCTAAAAGCAGCTAACAAAGGCTGACAGAAAAGTTTAGGATATCCTCAAGTCACCTCAGTGTCGCTGTCGGAAGTGAGCTTCACTGACTCATCAGACTTCCTTAACAAAGTTTTTACAGCCTCCTCGGGAGTAAATAGACATGTACACCAACTGAAATAAGCAGCCGACTGTCAGCCTGCACACACTACAGATGAACGGCAGCAAAAGTACTCAGATGACTGCGATCTACTGACATTTAGTGGTTAGATCTTGAACACGGTACTTTTGAAGATGCAAAATGAATTGGTTAACAAAGATTTAGAAACTTAGATGTAGATACCTTTATTTCTAATATATATATATATATATATATATATATATAGGTCCCTCATCCTATTCATGTAGCCCCTTCCGCCGGGGTTACTTGCGTAGTAGCATTCCAACAACGCCCTGTTTTCGTCTCTTGCCCACCGATGCCTTCTTGTTCCAGTAGCCCACTTTTCGTCAGGGTGCCCTGGTTCCTCAACACCTGACGCGGACCTTGTTGATCCGGGCGACGTCCGAGCCGGCATGCCTTCATATTTATCTGTCTCGCTCATGTCTGCGGTAGGCTTGCTTAGCATAGGGGGTCTAGCCTTAGGACCCTTACTGGATACAGACGCCCCAGGCAGGAATCGAACTTGCGATCCTCTGTTCCAAAGGCGTGTAGTTTAACCACTACGCTATCCAGCTGCAGGCAAGACCCCCAGGCAAGACCCCAGGTGCAGGCTGTGTAAAGATGCCCCAGAAACAATCCAGCACATAACAGCAGGGTGCAAGATGCTAGCAGGCAAGGCATACATGGAACGCCATAACCAAGTGGCCGGCATAGTGTACAGGAACATCTGTGCCGAGTATAACCTGGAAGTCCCGAGGTCAAAATGGGAGATGCCCCCAAGGGTGGTGGAGAATGACCGAGCTAAGATCCTGTGGGACTTCCAGATACAGACGGACAAAATGGTGGTGGCTAACCAACCGGACATAGTGGTGGTAGACAAACAGAAGAAGACGGCCGTAGTGATCGATGTAGCGGTTCCGAATGACAGCAATATCAGGCAGAAGGAACACGAGAAGCTGGAGAAATACCAAGGGTTCAGAGAAGAGCTCGAGAGGATGTGGAGGGTGAAGGTAACGGTGGTCCCCGTGGTAATCGGAGCACTAGGTGCGGTGACTCCCAAGCTAGGCGAGTGGCTCCAGCAGATCCCGGGAACAACATTGGAGATCTCTGTCCAGAAGAGCGCAGTCCTGGGAACAGCTAAGATACTGCGCAGGACCCTCAAGCTCCCAGGCCTCTGGTAGAGGACCCGAGCTTGAAGGATAAACCGCCCGCAGGGGCGTGCTGGGTGTTTTTATATATATATATATATATATATATATGTATATATATATATATATATATATATATATATATATATATACATATATATATATATATATATATATATATATATATAAATAAATTCTGTGTGTTATCTTTACTGTAAAATCCTTCAGGACATGGTGGCTCTGTTGACTATAAAATCATGATACAGTACAGTCTCAAAAGGTTGATTCTGTTCATCTGGAAGTATCGTTTTCAATGGGAGAAATGTTTCGTCACTCATCCAAGGGACTTCTTCAGTCTCAGCTGACTGCAGGTTTCCCCAGTCCTATAAACAGTACATTTGCACAATGACTGAAACCAGCCCACTGAATGAACAATGGGCTGGGAGGTCAGTTCCTTGATCATTAATATGTAAAATCTCATGACCATTGATCAACAACCACTGATCAAAGCTCATTAATCAATGGCCATGAGTACCATTCACAGAGAGTTGGGGAATGACTGCAATCACAGCATTGTAAGATGATGAAAGATGGACCCTTAGCCCCCCTCCTCGATTCACAGATGGTATTGCCCTTTTCACGTAAATGGCCTCCTTGACTCCCCACTCAAACCAGCGTTCCTGTCCAGGATGTGTACATCCTCATCACTGAAAGAGTGTCCACTGGCCTGTAGGTGTAAATAGATAGCACACTGATTCTGTGATACTGGATGTGTCTGTCCACTTTTTCCCCACAATTTCCTCCCACACAAAGAGGGGGGATTCATCCAGCCTGCATTTTCTAATAAAAATTTCAATAACTTATCCCTCAGGGATGCAATACAGTATATTGATGTGTCAATATTTTGTACGTACTTAAGGAGGATTTCAGTCTTTATTGATCTGGTGACACATGTGGTCACTGGTGTCAAATAAACTGAATTATTTTAATAAAAAGAACCCATCTGAGGATTTGGAGGCGTGCAACCATGTGTCTACAGCTCTTAATCTAGGAGCTAACTGTGGTTCTTTCTTGTTCTGCTACTCTTTTGCAGACCTTAAAAATGGTCGACTGACAAAAAATGGATAAATACTTGCAAAATAAAAATGCAGACACACTTCTAAGTGTGATCATGGTCAAAACTAACAAACAATGCTCCCTGGGAAATGCTGTACTAAGGGGAGTGAAGAGAAGAGTTTACAAACTGTTTGATTTAATTCATTTAATTAATTTCCCTTTGCTTTGATTGACATCAGGGCAATAGTAAACCTCACCACAACTATATATATTTAAAAAAACACATTTCAACAGACAAGTATAGACTGAAGAAGAGATAGAAAAAGCAAAAAGTGGGGCATGCAAGGAGCAGATGGCAAATCGTAAGAAACAGGGATGCGCTGAATAACCCTAGAAAGAGAAGCACCGAGGGGCAATTAACTGACGACGAGATGCTTTCATAGGAGGAGAAGGGCATGAAAATTTAAGGGCAGAGTAGTGTCAAGACAAAAGAAGAAAGAAATGGGTGAACTGATTGATGGAGGAAATTTAGATCTAATGAAAGTAACAGAAGAAGCAGAACAAGCCTAATGCAATTAGTCTGAGAGTGAAATGCAAAAAGAGAAGAGTTGTAAAAGATGGAAGAGAGCTACAGATTGAAGGGGTTGAGTTACAGACAAAGATTTTTATTGGAGGAAATGAAGGCTTTTACTGAACTGCCACTATTGTTAATGATGGTGTAATTGACTCAGACAATGAGTGGCTTAGAAATCTAATATTGGATGTTGAACTGTCTTCAGCAGAGTTGGGGAATGATTCAACAATATCGCTCAGCTCCCATTTATTTAAATACCTGCAATCGATGACCTACTGTATGGGATTTTTGTTCACATTGTTGTATTCAGGTTCATAGACAAAACAATGTCACTGTAGTTAATGACTTCAAAAGGTTTCGATATTTCTTTTAAGGGCATTTTAGTAATTCTTGGAAACCAGTAGCAAACTCCTGTGTTTTCATTATGTATGACATTAATTAGATAATGATCCAACACTGAGCCTATGTTGTAATTTACAGGTATATTTTGTATTCTTTGTGTTTGGGTATTTAGGAGGTAATTGAAGCTATAGCAGAGTGTGCCTTCAAGACCTCGCCTTTCCCCATCATCCTGTCCTTTGAGAATCACGTGGACTCGTAAGTTAACAGTTTACCTTGTTGCCTTAAGAGGTTCCAATTGTGCCAGAATTATCTTTACATGTGCGCTGCCTATGTTGATTCAACATGTGACATGTTGCACTTTCTGTTCTTTGACTCGTGCTCAAAGAACACAATGGCAGCCTGATGTTTTGCTATCTCAGTCGCTATGTGGTCAACGTGAGTCGTCAGTGGCAAGTTTCTTAATGAACCGCTTGATGTTTGGGTATTATTCTTGCACTGGTGTTATGGGTACTGGAAGCAGTCAAAATAGAAATCTAAAGATACGTGTAAGCAGTTTCTCAGGTATACCCAGATACATCATTGTAACAAAATGTTATATACTGTGTCCTGTGAAACTTTAATTTAAAAGTACGGTAAATGCATTCCACTAAATTAGGCAGTTTTCCATTTGTTGTATTCGACAATAAGCTTAATACAGTTTCAAAAGGATTTATGTATTACACATGGGTGCAGTTACTGAACTGTGGACCATCTCAAGCTGTCCGCTGACATCTCAAAAGTCAAAAGCTGGAGCTGGGTGCGTGTGGAAGGAGGTGCACCCATGTTTCATTAAATTCATGAATACATAATGCAGAAATATGCTTTGTGGCAAAAACTAAGAAGCTGTTGCTCCTCTGAGTTTCCCGTCGCTTGGATGGAATCAAACATGCAGAGTACTCCTCGTTCTACTCCCGTTCTCAGTGAGCTACTGAGGTTGCTCCTCCAGCTGCTTCAACCAGCTGCTCCTCCAACTCACAGAGGGTCTTCAGGGGAGATTAAGGGGTGCCATTACCAGCTGCAGTTTGAGACAGTTGAGTTAGAGTCTGTTGAACACAGAGATGAGTCTCACAAAAGCCTGCCGACAGGGAAACAGGAGACAGGAATGCCTGGTGCTAACTTATTTGCAGTGACTAAACTTTCAAATTAAGAGCGCGGGTATTACACAATAGCAAATTGATTACGTTCTGAAATATACTTGGTGGTCACTGATATCAGCCCCTCCAGGTAGTTAATATGTATGGGGGAACTTACATACAGAATCTGTTCATAAATAAAGTATTAACCAAGGTTTTCTTCTTTCAGTATTATAAAAATATATCTCGCATTTAAATTGATTATATAGCAGACTGACGCAGAGGAGTTTTTATTTGATTGTTCTGTGTCAGGCCTTTGGTTACTGTATCAAAGTCAGTTTAGACCTTCTAAGGAAAAAATTTGCCTATCACTTATATTTATAGACTCTAGTATAGAGTTGCATTGTTGTCCCACACATATTTTAATGAATTATACTATGTGAAGCTAATATATAACACTTTCCAGAAATATGCTAACATATTACATGGTAACAGTCAGAGTCAGTGTGAACAGGAATCTATGGAAATCCATGTGCTGACTGGTTTCCCTGGGACTTGTCCATCATTAGCTCAGTTGTCTGCTGAAACACTGACAGCACATCACGACAACAGTCATGAGACCGCAATCAGACAGTAAGTGCAAAAAGACGGCAGAGTAAAGTATTAAAGTCAGACTGAGACAGACAAATATCTGTGTCGCAACTGAAGAGCAGAAGAACAAACAAATATTCACTGGATATTGACGCCGTGCATGTGAATATAATTTTTGCATAAATGAGGCTTCATACTGTTAAGCATATTGATGAGGACTGTCCGTCAGCAGGACTGTCAATATGTCTAACCAACCACTTTGTTTTTTATCAACTGTGTAAACACCTGTAGAGCTAGGGACATGCTTCTGATGAATCCTTTCATCTTTAATGGCACCAAGATACTCTGGGGCAACATACATATTCAGGATATTGATATTTAGTGGAGAAATCATGATTGTGTATGTGTGTGTGTCTTTGTGTGATGACTCCCAGACCAAAGCAGCAGGCTAAGATGGCTGAGTATTGCCGGTCAATATTTGGAGACGCATTACTGACAGAACCTCTGGAGAAATATCTTGTGAGTATATAAGATCTCCACGCACCCGCTACATTTGCTTGTGCTCACGCTCACATTCACACTTGCTTGACTCTTTCCAACACACGAACACATATGATACAACAACAGTGAGGCATTCAGAAGATACTATCACACAGATGAGTGCACTAGAGAAATGAATGTCCTTGAACGCTGCTGCTCACCATGCTGCCCATATAAATGTTCTCTTTGAGGTAAAAACTCACATAGTTACTTACACACACACACACACACACACACACACAGTACTGTGAAAAAGTCTTGAGGTCCCTCTCATTGCTTCATATTTTGCTTCCAAAGAGACTCCTGGGATTTTACACTCAATGCTGACCCACAAATCATTCAAGCATAAAAAAAGGCATCTAACACAAGAGACCAGCCAGTGTTTTGTCTGCACATACAGATAACTTGGCAAAGAATCCGTTTTAAATGGTATCCTTAGGCACTTTGTTACTAGCAACCTGTTGCAAAACACATAGTTTGTTCCATTTTCTCTAGTTAAATCTACGAAAAATACCAAAGATAAAACATTTTGACAGAATCTGTGAGATGCATCTGGACCTTTAGTTGATCCATCTACTGGTCACTGAAGCTTCATCAGAAACTGTCCCAGTGTATGGGTAACTGTCAAGAAGCCATTCTTAAGGTAAACAACAGAACTGGACTAGAAATCTGTGGCAACAGGCCTTATGGAGTGAAAAATTCAAATTGTAAATTGTTTGGGGTTGCATTTCAGCCAGTGGTGTTGGGGGACTTGTCAAAATTTATTGAGTTGCGAATGCAAAAAAAAGGATCATCATCCAATACCATCTGGAAAGTGTCTGATTAGCAACAGATAGCACACTGTTTCAACATTATCGAAGGCAGCCAACATCCAAAGAAGAGCTTTGAATGTCCCTCGAGAAGCCTTTTGTTGACAGGAAAGCTTGCCTAAGAGAGTTCAGGCTGTGCTGAAGAATAAACATGGTCATACCAAATATTGACTTTAAACTTTGTTGTTTGCCTTATATACTGTATTTCCATGAATGGACGTTTCAACAAATCAGTGCACCTGTTTCCCATTTTCTAAGCAAAATATAAAGAAATTAGTCTTGAGACTTTGCAATATCTATATATTAGGGGTGCAACGATACTCGTATCGATGTTGAACCGTTCGATACAGTGCTTTCAGTTCGGTACGCATATGTATGAACAATACAAAAATTTTAATTTATTTTATCAACTTTTCTTCTGACGATGATGTCTGTGTTGAGAGCTCAGTGGGTCTGCGTTCGACTACTCCGCCTAGGCTGCACTGTTGAGCGCAGATCCACTGAGCGCAGCACAAGCTAGCAAGACAGAAGCTAAGCTCGTTGCAACATGGCAAATTGAACCTCCCCCACCCTCATTCAGATCTGGCCTTTGGAACTTTTGGTCTTCATGTGAAGCATGACCCTGAAGGTAAGCGCGTCATGGACAAAAGTAAAACAGTATGCGGGATGTGCCACGCAATGCTCAATTACATTGGTGGGAACTACTGCGTTAGCGCAGTTTGCTCGGTAACGTGTTGACGCCGTCCAGCCCCACGCACGGGGCGATCCGCGGTAGCTTGTCAACGGAGATTTGCCGTGTTGTGGCGTTAACGTTATTTCAGATTAACGCTGACAGCACTAGTGGGAACACAATGAATATGACTGCACATTTACACTGACACCATCCTAGTGCAAAGACAAGTGGAAGCAGACAAAAACAACAAGCACGCATGCTACAAACTTTACCCGAGTCATTTAGACAGCCGTTAGCACATGATTCTCCTTATGTGGACCTGATATGTTTAATATGCTGCTGAGAGTATAGCCCAGAAGAAGTGTATAGTATAGCTTTTATTTTGGAAAGAGCCATTTCTCTGTAATAAACTCTCCTTTCCAAAGATGAGTGATTTCTCGATCAGATAGATTTTTTTTTTATTACTTTGTTGTTTCAGCAACATTAAATTTAAAAACTGTACTTTTGAGTTAAAATATATATTTATAATTTTAATAAATGACAAATTAAAAAAGCATGAACATTTTTTTGTATCGAAAAAATATTGAACCGTGACACCAAAGTGTCGAACCGAACCGTGAATTGTGTGTATCGTTGCACCCCTAGTATATATGTGTCTCTGTTTTTCTTTCTTTTTGTTTTCTTTGTCTCTTTCTCACACATAACACCATGTGACCTTTGGCACCTGGCAAAATATCCGGCTGCTGTTGTTTTTCATTGAAGCCTCAGCCACTTTCACTTTCTCTTAAACACGCACATAGCCGTGGAAGCTAACTTTTAACGAATCATCCCGCAATCGTGCTTATTCCTCCCTATCACGTCTGTGTTATCACAGCAGAGACTGCAAACAAAAGCCGTTTAAGATTAAAAGGAAGCATTTTCCGCTGTAATCTAAACGTGGCTTTTCTTGGCAGTCCTTTATCTCAGACAGGCCTTTCCTCTGTTGCCATGACTACCAGTTAAAAGCTTCCATTGTCCCTTTGTGGCCAAACTTCTTTCCCCCCCCCCAAGGCGTCTTTGTGTGTAATGACGCAGGCTCTTACGTGAGGCAAATGTAGACACTTGCACACAAACTCTCGCAAGGACTTTTAGGCACTTCTCACAGTGCGTACGTGAAAACATGCCTCGCAAACAGTTCTGCACATATATGTACTTTAATGTACCGCTTACTCCTCTCGCGTCATTCTCCTGGGATGACGTTATTCCCTTTGGCACAACACTGTGGAGCAGCTAAAGTTCCCAGCAGCAGTAAGATGCAGAATTATCTCACACACGCAGGGAGCTCCTTCAGCACTGCTGCCTGCCAGAGTCACAGCCCGCTGAGAATTACAGCCTTCTGACTGGATTTGACATTGAAGTATTATCAGGGAGAAGCCTTTTGAATGGAGTGGCAGAGGGAAGGAGAAGGGGAGAGATATGAGGAGACAGACACCAAGGGAGAATTTAGAAAGATGGAAAGAGAAAGTGCCATTGAGGAATGAGCTTTCTACCACTGAGCATGTACAAACTAGGAAAGGTGAGAGCAATGACAGTCACTCCCATCTGGCATGGAGTCAGCTGTGTATACAGCGTATCGAAAGGGATATCAGCCTGATAAGCCCACAGGGACCGGGGCAGATAGGGTAATACAGCTAGATGAAATCCAGCTCAACCTAGAGTGAGAATTAAGAGGATTAAAGTTTTCCTAGAAACTTGCGCTCCTACTCCATCTCCACTTTACAAAACTGTCAATCGCGTCCCACAATGACGACTGGTGATTTTCTTTTATTTTCAAAGTAAAAACAAAACAGTTTGAAAGCTTGATTCATCGTTTGTTTTCTTGCTTCTCTCACTATGCTGACAATGACTGTGTTGGCGAAAAACATTTTCATTGTAACTGCGTAAAATATATGAAATATTTGAAGGAATTAAACAATTTGTCTTGCGGTTTGTTTAATCTTGTTGGGGCTTAGTTTTAAGCTGCAGACAGACTATAACTGGCAAGGGGAGATATACGAGCACACATAAGGAGGCCAGATTGAGAATAATGTGGATGCAAAAGTTATAAACTGTCGGAGCTGTAAGGAGGCGAGTAAAATAAATAACCATATCCCAATAACTGAAGTTAAAACACTTTTACATAACAAAGACTTAATTACTTCCTCTAACATGCGCTTGCGGGACATGCAGCACTCCTCTCCGCCTTCTGCTCACACTGTTTGAACATATAGACCCGAACATTTCATCAGTTCATCCCCTGTTAAAAAGAAAGCAACATTTTTTAAAAGATTTAAGACTCACAGTCCCTCAGTGTAAAGATACTTATTAACAAAGTTGTACTTCCCTGAAAGTATTATTGGAAAAAAGCACTTTGAGTATTAATAGTAAATTTACACATTTTGAGGAAATTTTAAAACATTTGCTTAAATTTTGAAGAACAATTTGACCCAATTCAAAAAAAACTTGCTTCCCTTTCTTATGTTACATCCAGACCAGATACTCTTATCATACCCAGCATGCACTTGGAACAAAATGCTAAGACTATTCCCTTCATTGAACAATTTCTGTTTATGTAATGTGAAATTGTCGTATAGTCATATGTCTTATAACAAATGAACGTAACAAGCAAAATACTGAAAATGGTTTAGGGACAAGGACTGGACTGAAAACTTGAAACAGTTGAATCTAGCTTATTAAACGTCACAACCGTTGCTCTGAAATATCGTGGAGCAGATACGCCGTATGAAGCAACAAAACAAGGAAATACTTTCTCACTTTACCACTAGTATGATACTGAGGCTTGAAAGTGGTTAAGGGTGGCCAAATGGAACTTTTCACTTTCTTATCACAGCTGAGCGTAATTGTTTTCGACATTTGGGGGGGGAAAACCTTGATTGAGTTTATTTCATTAGGCTTTGTGCGGTGCATTTGAGTGCAATCAGGATTACTTGCCCCATCCAATTTTGCTTTTCCTCCCTGGTAACTGTCAGTGAAGTGAATGCAAACAGGATGGCTAATCTTTGTCGTAAGATTTCCCCCGCAGCAACATTAGCAGAGCGTAGATAGACATGTGCGGAAAATAGGTCACAAGAAGGAAAATCTTGGCGTTAGTTGGTGTATGAATCACTGTTTTGTTGCTCTTGATTCTCAAGTTGCTCAAGTAAAAGTTTGATATGTTTAAGTGAGGTTATGTTTATAGTTGATATGTTGTAAACACAGCAGTTTGAGCATGTGCGTGTGTTTATTCTGCACCACTGAATTGCTCATTAGTGAAATATTATTATCCCTAAACACTGTGATCCAAAAGCAGCGTATCCCATAAATAAATTGGAGATGTAGCGACTTTCTGTCCAGCTCATTTGAGAGAACGTGCGTTTGTGTTTAATGTTTAGTTTCCTTGCAGGAAGCTGATTAAGGTGTTGCAAGCGTAGAATTTTTCCGCTATAACATCAGCCGAGTTTATAACACTCACAGCAGAAACAGTCATTTTTTACTAACCAGCTGCATCTAGCGAACTCTTCCTTAGAGGATTTGAAAAGAGTAATAGCCACAAATTTACATTTTAAGTGGAACACTCTAGTAAACAACTTTAGTGTTTTCATCTGGTAATTAGCTAGTTTGTCAAAAAAAGAGAAAAAGACAGCTTAACTGTGATTGCACTGTAGCAATCTTTACCCATAAATTAGCATTTTGGAGCATTTGCTCTTGCTCAAATTTATATTTACAATTTTAATCAGGAAAAATAACTCATGTTCTCTCATCATCCAATATATCTGAAATTATTAATGTAGGAAAGCACCTTTCATTCATCTATAACTGCATCTTTCTCCTTCCACATTCCCTCTAGTTGGAGTCTGGCGTGCCGTTGCCCAGCCCGATGGAGCTGATGGGAAAGATCTTGGTGAAAAACAAAAAGAAACACCACAAGACAAGTGGAAGTGCAAAGAAAAAACTCTCTGAGCAGGTTTCTAACACCTGCAGTGATTCTTCCAGCGTGTGTGAGCCCTCCTCCCCAAGCGCAGGTACTGCACCTTTAATATAATACACACGCACGCACGCACGCACACACACACACACACACAAATTCTACTAACAAAGCCATCAAATCACAATGGGCTCACTGAGTTATGATATTTCAGATGTGTAAAAGCTAGCCTAACCATCTGGGTCCCTCTGTACTGTGGACCAAGAGCTCTGTGCCGTCCAGAAACTGAATCACTGGAGCAAAACAGTGCTATTGTTTAACATTCATCACTTTCATGGCCCTCTCCATCAGTTGAAGGTATTATTGGCTGTTGCATGCACTCCCTGCAGGCATTATACATTTAAACCGGGGCATCTTAAACTCTGGCCAGTTGTGTGTGAGTGTGTATGTATAAAATGCTCTCTGCTTTTTGCTGTAACTGCCTAATATCAGTCCTATTTGTTCATACGTTTGCCTTTTCAGTTGTGTACTACATACGCACTCGCAACAGCACCAGGTCAGCTTTGGTGCTAAGGGATCTCAAAGTATGCCAAAAAATATCCCCCACAGCATTACACCCCCAGCCTGAACCGTTGATACAAAGTAGTCTGGATCCATGCTTTCATGTTGTTTATGCCAAATTCTGACTCTACCAGCTGACAGCCACAAGAAAAAATCGAAACTCAAATCTTCTCCTGTACACTTTTGGCGAGGCCGTGTGAATTGTAGCCTCAGTTTCCTGTTCTTGGCTGATAAGATGTGTGCGGTGTGTGTGTTGCTGTCCATCAGCTTTAAGGGTCGATGTGTTTCTTGTTCAGAGATGCTCATCTGCATACCTTGGTTATGACGGTGTTACTGACACCTTCCAATCACCATGAAGCAGTCTGTCCATTCTCCTCTGACGTCTAGCATCAACATGGCATTTCCTCCCGGAGAGCTGCCGCTGACTGGATATTTACTCTTTTTAGCAGCAACTCAGTGCTTTGATGCATGTAGACATGTTCAAGACAACCTGGGTCAATGAATGTTTTGATGAATATGGATTCTCCATAAACCCTAGAGATGGTTTTGTAGGAAAATCCCAGTAGATCAGCATTTTTTGAAATGCTCAGACTAGCCTGTCCGACCCAAGTTCAGAGTCATTTAAATCATTTTTTTGATGCTCATTTTGAACTTCAAAATGTCATCTTGGCCATATCTATATGCCTAAATGTATCAAGTTGCTGCTGTGTGATTGGCTGTAGTTATGTTATGTGTATCATTTGGTTGTTACAAATGAGTGAGAAATGAATGGAGAAACATGAACCCATGGCCCCCACAGTGAGAGTCTAGGACACATTTTGCTGGATATCCATGGTCCTGTAATCAATCACTTCTATCCTGATAAGTATGGAAATTATTTGAATCATTTAAGTCTAACATGGACTGACATGTTAGACTGTTCTCACCACCATCATCTTAAAAACACCAGGGTCCAGAGTCTGGGAAAATCAATATGAAGCAAACTGGAGCTCTGGTGGCAGGCAGTGGCCAAACATATATTGTTTTGTCTATTTATTTAACATCCATCTACATATTCCACTGGACCAAGCAACATGTCACCTTTAGTCTGCCCTGGTTGTTGAGCCTTAAGTTCTTCTTAGGCTAAAACACACTGCCCCCTGGTGTTGGAAAGTAAGCAGTACAAGTTAACAGTCAGGAGTCCTTTTTAACTGGTATACATGTTGTAAAATAACCTTCTTTTTTTTTTAAGATGATTTACTGAGTAAACTAAACAGTAAACTTTGAACTGAAAAATATGAGGATGATCTTCAGTGAGTGCTTTGTTTTTAAATCGCAGGTTCCACCAAAGAGGAAGTGGCAGACTCCACACAGCCCTCTGATGGTACTGAGCTTACACTGAGACCACAGGGCAGAAAGTCTATTGGTGAGTCCATGACCTCAGATGGAGACTTAAATCTTTAGTAGAGCCCTCATTAGGCCGGCACAGAAGCTATAGGTCAGACAATTACACCGTTAAAATCAATTTCCTCTGTCAGTGCGACCTCCGATTCAGTGGGAAATCTTAAGCAGATCTCTCATTATGTGGGTGCAGAGGCTGGGTCAGCTCAACCAAAACAATATTGAAATTCATTTCCTCTGTCTACGAGCGCCAATAAATTAGGACCTGCCAGCATGAGCCTTACTTGTGTCGCTGTTTTAAATGTAATGGAGGCAGTCGTGGGCTGTAAATGAAGACCATTTAAAGACAGACGGCTCCGTTCGTGTTTGTGCAACGTTTGCATTGATTTGGCAGAAATAAAAACTCAATTTACACTCGTTTCAGCTTTGTTTCATGCATTTCTCTGCTATCCTGTCTGTGCCATGCGTTCTAGGTGAAGTGGAGGCCGAAAGCGAGGACGAAGATGATGATGATGATGACTGTAAAAAGGGATCAATGGATGAGGTGGGTATCTTGCAGGTGACAGCCATCAGTTCAAATCCTGGCTATAATGGAAACAGACTGTTTAGCCTATATGTGCTGAAGTTGTCCTCTAGTGTATGATCATGTCTCCAAATTGTGTGTCTCCAAAATCAATAAAACCTTTGCAGAAGGATTCTAACAGACTTTTTTGGTAACGTTTCTGCTGCTTTGTATTTGGACGTTTTTTAATATGTGTGCTTCCATGTGTAGGGCACAGCAGGCAGTGAGGCATTCGCTACAGAGGAAATGTCCAACTTGGTCATCTACATCCAACCTGTCAAATTTAACAGCTTTGAGGCTTCCAAAAGTCAGTAACAACAATGAATACTGAATGTGCAGCAACAAACAGATCGCTGTTAAATAAGCTGACAATTTTATACCACTCTCAACCCACAGAGATCAATCGAAGCTACCAGATGTCATCCTTTGTCGAGACCAAAGCTTTAGAGCAGCTGACCAAATCTCCTGTAGAGTTTGTGGAGTATCCCTATGGTTATACCGAAGCATCTCTCTTTCTGTCCTTGCTAAGATAAGAATTTGTGCTTCAGTGTCTGATGCCATGGTTGTCAGCTGGGTGAGGAAAGAGTTGTTGCCTCAAGTGGGGGACTCCAAGTATCTCGAGGTCTTGCTCACAAGTGCAGCGATAGAGGAGAGGGATAGTTATATCTGTTGTGGTGTCGAGAACGTCATGAGCTGTTGGTAGTGATCGAAAGTTACACGAGAATAAATGAACTTCTTCTGAGAGTGTCTGGGCTCATTTTTTGGAGCTGATGGGTGAAAAGCTCAGAGTAGATGAGCATAGGTGTTTCAAGCATAGATGAACTGAAGAATAGCCTGTTATTTCAGCCTCATTTTACCCCTTCATAGTAGACAAAGGCTGAGTGTGTTCCTTTTAGCTTTTTCCTTAACTTGCTTTTGTGGATTATGTTGTTTGTGAGTGATTTTGGAGTAGTAATCCCAGCAGATGTTTAGTAGCATCACTTAGAAAGTATTTTCAGATGCAGGTCATGCAGTCTTGCCCTTAACAAGCTCTGTTCAGATACAACAAGCTGCAGCTGAGCAGGATCTACCCTAAAGGCACTCGAGTGGATTCATCCAACTACAACCCTCAGCTGTTCTGGAACGCAGGCTGTCAGCTGGTGGCTCTCAATTTCCAGACTATTGGTGAGAGGGAAGCCCAAAACACATTCCTTCACACTGAAGAATAAACTAAAACACTCTCACTTTTATGTCATTATCCAGGTTTAAATATGTTCCTATCCTCACCCCACAGATTTATCAATGCAGCTCAACCTGGGCATGTATGAATACAATGGGAAATGTGGCTACAGACTGAAACCAGAGTTTATGAGACGGCCGGATAAGCACTTTGACCCATTTACCGAGAGCACAGTGGATGGGATAGTAGCCAACACACTGTCTGTGAAGGTGTGTTTATGTTTGTGTTTTGTGTGTGTACGTGTGTGTGTGTAGCTTTCTCTCTGTATAATTAAATTTTTCCTTCCAGATCATCTCAGGCCAGTTCCTGTCAGATAAGAAAGTGGGCACATACGTGGAGATCGACATGTTTGGTTTACCAGTGGACACAAAGAGAAAAGCATTCAAGACCAAGACCTCTCAGGGCAATGCCATCAACCCTGTCTGGGAAGAGGAAGCCATTGTTTTTAAGAAGGTGAAACTATGGCCTTGTACACACGCAGTGGTAACATTAATTCCAATCATAGACTGTATATGCAGTGTTCTTGATGTACAGTCCATCAATCCTTTTTCATCCCTTTGAACTTATCTACTTATTCAGTCAAGGGATTTGACTACTGTGGCTATCAATATGCAGATATTGATAGGTAGCTGTAATGGCTATATGTCATAAAGCTTGAAAAAAAACCTGGGGTGTCATTTAATTTCCATTTTGACATCTTTAGATAATTAAAGCGCTAACGCATTCATATTCAGTTTATACCTATGGATTTAAGCAGCAAAGCCACTGTTAAAAAAAAAAAAAAAGGTTGGCTGCATTAATCTTGACCATCTGCTTCCAGTTAATAATATAACAGTAAAAACAATTTGTGTGTTTTATTCCCATTCATAATATTATTCTTAGGTTGTCCTGCCCACGCTAGCATCACTGAGGATAGCAGTGTTTGAGGAAGGAGGGAAGTTTATCGGACACCGCATCATTCCTGTGTCAGCCATCCGTCCAGGTGACAAAACTTTGCACTTATTCAGCATAATTTCACACATAGGTTGGCGTTTGGTCAATATCAAAAAAAATAACTTATATTAGACTTTATATATTTATAATACAGTTTGATAAATCATGAACATTTGCATAAGCTTTGCTTTGCTCTAGAGCCTGACCGATATTTCTGCCCTGATTTGTTGGTATGCCGACATCAGCTGTTGACTGATATATCAGTATCTGATTTTAGAACAGCTGATAGATGCAAATTTAAAAAGAACCAACCATGTTATGACTGTTGATATTGCATAGTTGCTTGACCAAAGGCCACTCTACAGCTTCCACGTTGGCACTTTGTTTGGAGCAAGTAATGCACGACTTGTTGTGACAATAGAACAAGATTTATTTAAACTGCATTGCCATTATTGTCTCAGTAGGGACTTATAAATAATTACATGTAACAGTTTTAGGGAAATCTGTGCATATTTCATGTCTGTGAAAGAAATGAAAAAATATTGTATCAGTCTTAACAATCCAGTATCGGTCCAGCTGTTCTTTGCTTTGATGTAAAACTGTTGTTTCTGGAATGATAGAATTAAAATCTAACCCAAACCTTGCAGGCTATCACTACATCAGTCTGAGGAATGAGAAGAACCAGTCCCTGACGTTACCTGCTCTGTTTGTGTATGTTGAAGTAAAGGACTATGTCCCAGACACATTTGCAGGTAAGTCAGGTGATCGCAAGAAAGAAGAAAAACAGAAAAAGAAATGTGGTTTTTTCATCATCACTCTTTTCTTCCCTGTCCTCAGACGTCATTGAAGCCTTGTCCAATCCAATCCGCTATGTCAACCTGATGGAGCAAAGAGCCAATCAGCTGGCTGCTCTCACCTTGGAAGAGGGAGGGGAGGAGGAGGGTGACAAAGAGGTGTGTGTGTGTGTTTGTAGTTCTCTCTGCATCACAGGTCATCCAACATGTGTCTCTCCTCTGTACTCTTTGTGTTCATGCGTAAAAAGCTTTGAGGCCAATAATCAGTGGCTGATGAGATGAGCGGTCCCTCATCCAGATGGGGACTCTCCTCATTATGAGGAAGAATCTGGTTAAGAAGTCAAAATATATCATGGGGAAGGTGAGAAGATAAAGAGAGCAGAAACAATTTAGAAAGAGAAAAGCGTAAAAGGCTTTTTAATACCATCGCAAGTGCTTTGAAACCCACAGCCATCTAATAGCACTAGTGAATAAAATGATGGATTATTAAGCACAGCACCACAAGTTCACACAGATACTATCAGCAGACTTTGTTTGGAACAGTTTTTGTTTCTTGGTCACCCATGAGAGACTGTATTTCCAACCACTGCTATAGCGTCATTGCAGCAGCATCAAGTCTAATATGGCATCGATCTGCTAGATATCACAAATCACCCCTGCGTATATTACCACTGATTCTCAGGGGATGCTTTATTTTATGCCTGATGTTTTTAAGAAAAAGGCCAGCCTTAAAGTACATGAAATCCTAACAGTATCTATATAGTTTTACCCAAATAATATCTTAAATGCAGGTCTGTGTGTTTAACTGTTGTTTACAGTGTTTTGAATGATGTTGTGATGTATTGTGACTCAAGTAAAAGAGCAACAGTAAAGCACTGGAATACTTCCTACAGTGCTGATGAAAATAATTTCAAAATTGAAATACAGATAAAACCTGTGATAGATAAATAGTGGTGGGGTGACACTTTAAGCTTACATAAATACAGAGGTTGTTTAAAAAGATGCTCAGAAGTCAGTGGAGTTTACCGTCAGGTCCTTAGGTAGTTGGACAGAGACACAGTTTTTGTCATTTTGCCTCTGTACACCATCACAGTCTATTTTAAGTTACGAAGTCACCCACAAACCCACAATTCCACATGAATGGAAAGTCCTGATGTGTGAGACTGTGTCATGAGGCTGAGTAGACTGAGGGGCGAAGGGCCTGTAGTACTAGGGAGCTGTGATCGCTTTGCAGTGTACCTGACCTCTAACTAGTGTCTTAATTGTAAGTCTCCTACTATAAAGCCTATCTACACTCACCTTAGCTGTGTTAATGTTATTATTTTATCGTATTATCAGTCTATTAAGATTGCACTTTGTATGCTGTAATGTTTTATCTTTCGCTCCTAACCAGGAACACTTAACCAAAATTTAAATTTTAGTGTACTTTGCTTGACTGTGTCATGAGATGTGATTGAAGTGCAGACTTACACAGCCCTGACAATGGTTTCATACAAAAGAATCACCAAAGACCAAGACTACTGTTTAAAACATTGCACGTTTAAAATATTTTTGTTTCTTTTCTTTTTTTTGCAAAAATGCAACTAAACTTTGTTTACAAAGATGGTATTTCTCACTTTAACCCTGCCCCAGGCAATAACAGTACAATCTACTTCACACATTAAAGCACGTAGTGACCAACGATGCACAGTATATACACGCAGTATAGGCAATCACACAGTTAAACTAGAGTCGGCAGTAAGCTTAAATTTTAGTACAGGCTCCAGTTTGAAAACAACTTAAATGGCAAGAAGCTCAGAATTCTGCTGCTTCAGAAAATGTGATTTATTTATTTTTTTGCTTTGTTTCAAAGTGACAACCAAGGAAATATTAGATCACAGACAACTCAGACTAACAGGGTCAGCAACAGTGCAGCAAAGGGAGGAAACAGGGTTTTACTGAAGTTGTTCATTTGCAAGTAGGGGACTGTTTGAATTTACTCAATGGAGACGAGCACGAGTAATGTAGGTGCCAGTGTATCAGGTAACAGACACAGACTTAATTACTGAGGAGAGATGATTTCTAAGACTGGAGTGAGGATAAATTTAGGATGACAGACTAGGCAGGACGGAGTTATCTGGGGTTATTAGGAAAAGCGAACCGGAGAGCAGGGTTGTTCCTGAAGGGCTTCTTTGATCTGTTCTGCCAGCTGATATGATTACCCACGAGAATGGCCAACAGAGAGCTGTATCATGCTGTGACCATGGAAACAGTGACCGAAAGAGGCAGAGCGTGGAGCGCGGAGCACAGTGTGGGGAGATAAGTGTAGAGAGCAGAGGGGAGAAAAAAGGGAAACATTCGGTTAGCATGACAAAAAAACTAGATCATTTAAAATTGCATTAACCTTTCAGAGATAAGAGCGTATAGGCCGACATTCAGGCAGGCCGACGGGAAATTAAGATCTGCTGCGCCTCAGCACAGGAAACCATGCTGAGAGTGGGTTACCAAAGCTATGTCTACAAACTAAGCTGCACGACACAACAGGGCCAACAAGTGAGTTCTGAATACAGGTGCAAAGGAAGGAATTACTCCTACTGTTAGACTCAAGCGTCTGGTTTTTTGTTTTCTTCTTTTTTATAGTGTACTTCATATGAAGAAGTTTGGAAGTATAATTCTGCAAAATGGAAACATGCCTGATTTAAATGATATTTGGGATTTAAGTTGTTCTGCAGTAGTTTTACTTTGCATTTGCTTAATCCTGAATGTTTCATATGATGCACAGGTGGAGACATTAAGTGATGCCCCCTCAGAATCAAAGGATCAGAGGATAACGCCCGCTGAGAACGGACTGAGCCACACACCCACTCCCCCCAAACCTCAGTCACTGGTCAGCCACCAGCCTCAGCCTGCAGGTACTAAAACAGCGTACCTGCCTTCATTATCATCATCATCATCGCTACACATCCACAGTCAAAAAGATATTCATGCCTGAAAGGCTGACTTTGAGTAATTTTGTACATTTTTCATATCATTGTGGTATATACGAACAATCTTAAATTTAATGGAATCTGGTCAAACTAAATGTATTTGATTAATGTACATTTAGTTTCTAACTAATTATTTGAATAAGTAAATCTTTGATATAATCTTGGGGAATATTATTTTTTTCTTACTGTCTGACTTGATTTAATATATATAACAATGCATTAGATTAATATAGATATCGCTGTTTGTACCCAGTTTACTGACTTTACTCCCACTTTAACTGATCCTGTGAATTCTGAACAGGCTCATTAAAACCATCAGTGAAGACTGAAGACATCATCCAGAGTGTTCTCACGGGTGAGCTTCTGATTGCTAGATCTATAGTGATTTTACTGATCTCTGTTCCTATCTTTATTTGAAATCACTTCTTATCAAAATTAAGTATTTATTAGACCTTTTGACTTGATTTGCAAGATAATAAATCCCTGTGTTGCCCATATTAAGGTCATATTTCTTTGTTCAAGATTAATTATTCATGGTTGCTTTTGCAGAGTAACAGCACTTTACTATTATGGCCGTCTTTAGCGATGGGAAACAGTGTAGTAAACATATAAAAGTTTGTTGTACAGTAGTTTATAATTTTTTCATTAGAAATCTTTTCCCTTGACCTTTCTCTTGTATTTAGAACTGGAGGCTCAGACAGTGGAGGAGCTGAAGCAACAGAAGGGCTTCGTTCGGGAGCAGAGAAAGCAGTACAAGGAGATGAAGGAGCTGGTTCGGAAACACCACCGCAAGACCAGCGAGCTGATCAAGGAGCACCAGGCTCGTGTGTCGGAGCTGCAGAGCCAGCATCAGCGTCGGCGCTCTGCCCTGCAAAAGAGCCATAAAAGAGATGGTAAGAAAAGGTAGGTGGCCTCCTTTTCTAGTGTTCAGTTTTACTTTTATTTGCCTTCTTTTTGTTTTTGAAGTCGTCCCCTCCTGCTCTGTGTCTTTAAAAGAAATCCACTAAAACACATCCATGCAGTTAAGAAGAATAAAGTTACTTGCACTTTTTTCCTATACCAGCTCCCATGTAGACTCAGTGTTGTGTTTCAACCAAAAATACAATTAGTAACAAGCTCTTTTTTCCAACATAAAAGCTACTTTGCTCCCAGAGCAGGTTGCTCCGCATGTTTGATTTGGAAGATTTTCATTTTCTTCCTGACACATCTCTAAAGGGATTTGTTTCTCTCCTGGGATCAAACTGAGGATCTTTTGCTTGTCAGGCAAATTTGTTAACCACAACACTATAGAGAAGTGTGGAGTCAGTGGCACAGCCCTGATGAGCCTCTGATTCAACCTGTGTCAAAAGTGCAGATTTCTGACTATATTCCACATTTTAATTTTAATAGTGCTATTTTGTGAATTGTATTGAAAATTTTCATGTAAGTCCTAAACCGCAGAAATAGACTGAAACTTACAAAATAACCACACATGTTGTTGTGCACACATCTTACTGTAAATACCACAGAAGCTTTTTACATATTTTATGAGGTGATAATGATTCTGTTAAACTATGTAAAAAAGTACATGCAAACTCAATATGCCACACCACAGTGGAGTGCATACAGTACTAGTTAAAAGCAAACACAGGTATTAGTTGCTGAGCTGTTCATAGAATTTTAATGTTGCATAAGACTTCCTCCAAGTTTCAGGCATGTTCATGTCCAGAACAAGTGTCTATATCACAGACTCCACCTGCCCGGTCTTTCTTTGTGTTATAAATAACTTCAAACACCTAACATCTAAGTTTTTACCATCACTTCCTGAGAAAGTGCATGAAAATAATATTTTAATGTGCAGCAGACATGTGGTCAGAAATTTAAAGTGAACCCATTATTCCTCTCCTGATTTTCGTTCACATTTTCTTTGTTTTACATCAGTGCTGATTAATTTGCTCACAGAATATTTTCCCCAAATTCTTCATCTTTTGGCAAATGTGAGACGAGTCTTTGTGAGTGCAGAAGCCTACCTGCTGTTAAACCCTCTGTTTGCAAAACATGGCCACACCAAAGTTGGGTGGCGGGAATAGGAGGAAAAGAAGTAAAATAGCTCATTTCGGACAGGTGATGAACTGAGCTGCTGCACCAAGGCCTAGTACGGGAGAAATAATCATTTTTTATTATTTTCCACATCATGCAAAGGTAATCTAGTAGGTCATGTAAATAAATTTAGGAGTCAGAAGTGAGCATTATAGATTAGTAATGCTCTAATGATTCTAACAGTTACTGCATAAGATACTCTGCTGCGATTGAAGTATCTATCTTAACTTGTGCATGTTTTGTTTGTGTGTTTGCACGCATGTGTCCAGTCGGTCTGAACAATCTCTGTCCACACTGGATCAAGAGCTGTGTGACCTGGACCAGGAATGCAGCCAGAGACTGGCCGAACTGAAGGAACAGCAGCAACAGCAGCTCCTCACACTTCGCCAGGAGCAATACTACAGCGAAAAATACCAGAAACGAGAACACATCAAGCAGGTACTTCTCCTCAAATCCGACAATTAATTATGTGCAGATGTGAAGAAGACCCTCGTCTAGACCTGTCTGATACTGTGTGAATAAACCAAGTCTGTAAATAAAGACAGTAATCCCCTTTATGACTTCTCATCATTATTCAGGCCAACTTGATCTGAATAAAACTTAGATGAAAACAAAAATTATGTTCTGTGTAATTTTCATTTGCTCCCAGAGCGGATGTCGCTGCGTGTTGCAGTCATTTTTGGCTGTAAATCACACAGGCTGATAGCCGTAATAGTTTAATACTCTGGTGACACAGTGTGTAACACTTTGAGATGGAATCACTGGCACTGCCAGAGGAACATGTGAATGGAAAAATTACAAGGGAAATGACTGTTTAGGAAGTTTTCCTGGCTCATAGCTTTGGTTTCTTTCCCTTTGAGCTGCTAATTCAGCTCAGAAGGAAAAGGAAATAATTCAGTGCAAGGAGCCATTGATCAACGTTCAAGGGATCCTTTGAATTGACCAGATATAGTAAAATATGCGTGAAGAGAGGGCAGGAGAAGGTCATACACGTTCACATATTTGAACTGTGAGTCGAATAAATAACACTAATTGCAGATGAGCAAATGTACAGACTTTTAAAACTATTTTGGCACATGCTCTTACAGGGACACCACGCACCACTTTATTCTCTATAAGATATCCCTGATCTCCATTCCCTCTTTTATTATTTTCTGGGACTGCTTTTAAAATGCCATTTGAATGCACAAACAAAGCTTTAGTTCAGTTAATTCCGCACGTATTCCAGTCAAAACAATTTTGCAACCTTTCTTATAATTATCAGTAGATACACACTGCACATAGATGAATGGGAGATTGAGGACCTAATGTACTAAGTGATGCAAATTAGGTTGATGCTGCAGTATCCAGAATGCACAGGTGAGAGTGGAAAGCTTTGCATGTGAGCTTTAATAATGTGATCTATCAAGATCAGTGCATAACAGGCTGAGTAACCTACCAACTAAACAGTGTAGCTCTGTTTTTCTGCAAAAACAAGACGTTAATTCATATTAGTGAAGAAGAATTCTGATGTAAAAGTCTTGTTTTTGTTAAAAAAAATTTTGCACGCCACTCACAGCGTTGGGACATCCGTTCTGATAACGTCTCATCCTGGCAATGCAAATAAATGAAAACACTCTTAATGGGAAGTCCAACAAATACAAATGCAAAGGGATCAGCCACAAAAACAACCCTCTCTGTGCTTTTCAATCAGAAAATTGAAGCTGCATATTTTGTAGTTTTTATAATGCCAAAGGAGAGATTTGGACTGCAAGTGCTCTGCCTGTTAGCTGCCTATTTATAGACATCACACCAATTCTGAAACTTGTCTCCATACTAAGCTTGTATGCCCGTATGGACATGCGCTCCTATGCACTTTCCCCAGATAAATAATTGCCAGCTGTTGTGTTCTCACATAAACATCAGTAATATAAACAAGCATGTTCTGTATGTAAAACTGGGATAAACAGATCCCACACACAAATAGGAGCTTGCACTGATTTGTTTTGGATAATGTGCTGACAATCTCCAGCTGTCCTAAAGCTCAGAAAAGCAAGTGCAGACTAACCACAGCATGAATGCTGCTGGGTCATCCCCCTGTAGAATATTCCAGTCTTTGTTTTGCTGCCTGTGCTCAAGCTCTCTTGTGTGGCATGAAAAAATGAATGTATTCTGCTCCAATACCCCTGTGCAGTGAGCAGAGCGCAGGTGTCAGAAAAGTTTGTCCAAGCGTGGAATTAAAAAACAAAAAAGCTTAATGGAGATTGTTGTTTACAACATCTAAATGTTGTTTAATTATGATCAGAACTACAGCAACGGTCGCTTCAGTGATATATTATTTATGAAATAAACGATTAATTAAAAAGCTGATGTTTTCTGTCACATTTTTTTGTTCTCTGTTCGTTCTCGTCCCAGTTGGTTGAGAAGCTGACCAGTATAGCAGAGGAATGCCAGAGCGCTCAGCTGAAAAAGCTCAGAGACATCTGTGAGAAGTAAGGATGGATACAGCACGCACTCTTATTCACTGAAACAAACAGAAATCACAACATTATTTTTTTTTAATTGTCCTAACATCAACAGAGAAAAGAAGGATCTTAAAAAGAAGATGGACAAGAAAAGGCAAGAGAAAATCAATGAGGCCAAATCCAAAGACAAGAATATGACAGAAGAGTAAGTGTGTATTTGGAAATATTAGGATTAATAAGCTGTTTCTATTTGGGCTTGGGTGTTTTAATTGTTTGACCACTAGGTGTCACCGTATGTTAAATATTTAGTTAAACTCTGACTACTTGCTTGGTTTGACTGATGATAAATCCTCCCCACAGAGAGAAGCTAGAGATCAACAGATCGTTTGTCAATGAGGTGGTGCAGTATATCAAACGGGTAAGCGAGCAGCGATAGAGCTGTGGCGTTACAGAGCACTTAGAGCACTGAAAAATGGTGCTCTTTTTGCAAATTTGAGAAGATTTGCCTGAAATTTGCATCTACTTTATGACAAATTCACTTTATGATATAATTACCTTATACTGTGTGTGTGTGTGTGTGTGTGTGTGTGTGTGTGTGTGTGTGTGTGTGTGTGTGTGTGTGTGTGTGTGTGTGTGTGTGTGTGTGTGTTTCTAGTTGGAAGACGCCCAGAGTAAAAGACAGGAGAGGCTACTGGAGAAACACAAGGACATCCGCCAGCAAATCTTGGATGAGAGGCCAAAGGTATTATCTTGACCAATATACCAAGTAAATAAAATCTAAAATGCAAAAAATAAAAGTCAGATATTGCTCAAAAGAAGGCTTGTCAATCTATGTCTGGGCGTCTTCTACATATCTATGTATATATGGTTTCTATATACATATCTATGTATACCTAAAAACTATTACCAGACGGAAGAGCAGCTGAAATGATGTAACGACAGCTCAGCATTGCTGATATGTCCCCTTTGTCCCACATTAAGGTTGTTGGGATCTGGTCACCCTGTGAATTGGTTGCAAGGTTCACAGCACACCTTGCAGTCTTTACCTGTGCAGATAAAATAATTTGTAATTAGTAGAATAGTGCTTTTCAAAAACATGAAGGCCTAGGGGTGCTATAAAGAGTGAATGTAATAATACATGCATATTTGACATAGATGAAGGCTCAGTTATTTGTTTCTTGGTGCAGGTTTTGTAAAAGTTGCACAAAAAATATGTATGTAGTCTGTCTCCTTTTGGCCTAGTATGTTCAACCACTAGATGGCGACCTGCACCAGGCTTTAGTGCTGCACTGAACGGGTGTGCTATAATATATGGTGAACGTTGTGGTGTATGAAGATTGTATTTGTCTCTGTTTTCAAAATGTATTATATGATCCCTTGAATCTTTATGCTAATATGCAACCCAGAGTTTAAATATCACTACTGCTGGTTGATGGATGGTACTGTGAATCACAATGAGAAAGTTGTTGGAAAATATTTAATTGCCTTGCCGTGGGTGCACAATTCCTCAACCGTTATTAGTGTGCTTCCTGCAGGTAGGCTGTGATGCCATCATGCCACTCTTGTCAGTAGTGAAGTGGATACTCCAGCATTTTCTTGCAATGCTCTATCTGTTTGGGTTGCAGAGTTTCCAACCATATAATTGTCATTGTGATTGTAGGATTACTGTGCAGCTGCGGAGCATGGTAAGAACTTTGTTGCATCCCAGTGTTGAGCACTAACACACCGTAAGTGTGGCAGTATTAATATGCAAGCTTGTGCATACACCTGGGCTGCTGCCCAGCCAAAAGTAATTGTGCATTGAATGAGACCCACAGTGCATTGCTGTGATGAAGAATGCTGCATTAGTAAATTCAAGCAAACGTGTCATTGATTGCAGGCAAGAGAACAATGTGAGGAGAAGCAGATTGGGCTGTGTGTAGTGAGATCACACTGCATTTATCTGCTCAAAATGAGTCTAGGCAACATCGTCTGTACACAAATGTAATTACAATTACACAGTATTTGTTGTTTGGCTAGTACTAAACACAAACATGGGCATTTATTAGAGTCATCTTATTGAGCTCTTGCTATGATTTAGATTTTCTTGATTATCTAATGCATCTAAGTTGTATTACATCAGCTGTAGTATTGCACAGAGAAGTGTCACATGGGTGTGTTGCTCCTATTACGCTTATACATCTTTTCCAATGAAGTGAAATGACAGCAGGAATTTACCGTGTCTGCTCAGTGTAGTTTTGTTTTGTTTTTAGGCATAAATCAGAAGTCTTTAGTTGGAGACAGCTCCATAACCACCCACACTCAACGTGACAGCTCCTTGTTCCTTTGAAACCACTCGGAGTTGAGTGTGGGAGGTGCAGCACTGTACAAACATCCAGCCCAAAGACTCGCAGGTCTTCTGTGTCTTTCCATAAAGCTGCAGTAGGGAGACATGAGGAGAGAACGTCAAGGTTGAGACATGATTGTCGCCTCGTAACTAACTCAGGCTGTTGAACTTCCCTCCTTTTCATGAGGACTTTATTTCATTTCTGGAGCTTCTTGTCAATCTGAGTTCAGTATGAACAGTCAGCACTGATTTGAGTTTTGTCATCCTGTGTCATCGGGGTCTCATCGACACTGAAGTAGCACGGAGATAGAGGGACAGTTTTCAGAAGGTCGTTTTCTTTGTTGTCACTTTTGTGTTTTCTGTTACTCTTCGCTCATTGTTTCCCCACAAAGCTGTAGCCGTATCCACCCCCGAACACTTTGTTGCAAACTATTCTCCAAATAAGAGTCTGCACCACCTCAAAGTTAATCTTGCCTGCAGAAATCTATTATGTACATAATAATCATCCAAACTGTGCAATAGCTGTTCTCATGGAGTGATGGTGATCTGTATGCGGGATATGCCGATGTCAGGGGCCAAAACTCTAGAGACAGCACGCTCAAGATAACCCCGGGCTGTGTTTGTTGAAAAATTCAGGATGCTCTCCATAACACTAGTATAATGCCCAGTGATAAAGGGACACTTCTGTTCAGGGATCGTGTGGTTAACCGGTATTAACGTTAAATCCAATAAAGTGTTTTAATGCTCCTAGTAATGGAATATTACTAACAATGCCTGTGCACTTTAAGTGTTTTTGTTGATTAACATGAATCATGGTTTCATTCCAATGGGATTAGATCTCTTTCCAGTCCATAAAAATATGTAACTGAGCACCCTTGAGAAAGTCACTGAACCCAAAACTGCTCCCACTGAGCAGGTCATTGGCCCTTCATGGCATCAAACACGCTATGTGTGTGTGTAAATGTGTGGGATTGCATTCTTCAGTACCTCTATAATAAATGTACTACAGTCTATGCAACATGATATCTCCAAAGTGTGCTACTCAGACACATAAACACAATGGAAAGACTTAAGGATAGGATGTTAAGGGCTCCAGTGGGGATATATTCAAGTCTGGGCTAATGCAGAACTACATTTGTAGTGTGTTTCCATTGTGGTATGTATTTATGAATCAGAGAGAGGAAAAGTGCCCCCTTTCATACAGTTCTGACCCAGTTTCTCCTCTTGGTTCAGAAAAGCTACTAATGGACATGTTGAGCTGAGCGACTTGCATCTGTACATGTGCAGCACATGTGTGAGCTCACATACATGTGCTATACCGAGATAAAAAATTAGCTACAATATTTATGCAGTCCTGTTAAATCTTGCTTAGGATTTGATTTTTGGGAGATTTGTTGCTCTATGCTTTGACTTTAGCATTAGCAGCAGCTTGCAACTTGTGCTGCTGCTTTTTCTGCTGCTGTTACCTGCTGGTAGTATGAAGGTCATGTACTAAACTGAACGAGAAGCAAGAGACAAAAAGAGAGACATGACGGGTTGTGTCATCACTCCCAGCCTGTGCACTTAGGTGTTACTGTCCTGTTAATGATCCAATCAAAATAACCCCAGGAGTCAACAGTGCACAGCACGCTGGCAAAAGGCATTTCCGCACACTTGAAGGCTCTATATCCTGGCCTGCTGCTTTTTTCTTACTTAAGGCCACATGGTCAAGGTCACATTGTCCGCAGAAAGACTTTGCGCCTCGTCTTGTTTATGTTCGTTCCACTCGATCACACCCGATCTTCTAAAACTTACTACTTTGAGTCTGAAACCTGCGTTGGAGCTGAAGATTCAGATTGATTCTGGGTGTGACTTCATACCCAGATTTTTTGTTTATGTGGATGTAGTGTGAGGATTCTAGCCTTCGTTTTATGATAGGAGCAGACTAAAAGCTTACCAGGGCATGTTGTAATTACTATGTACCAGTCATCCCTTCACACCTTATTTGGCTGTGAAACGAGTATGAAACAGTCAGAAGGCAATATGTTTCACAACATGGCGCGTTGGTGTACGCTTGCGTATCGTTCGAATTACATCTTTACGTAGGAGAAATGCTTCTTTTGTTGCCTAAACGAAAAAAGGAGGAAAAAAATATCTTATGGTGTCTCCCTCTGTGAAAGCCTTGAATGCGCACACACACATAGGCGCACACACAGACACACATGCATTCGTTCAAGAAGCAGGAGTCCTGTGCGGTCGCCATGGAAACTCAGGACCCCCCCCCCCACTCTCTCTGCCTCGCATATCCTCTTCTATCCTTCATGACTCTCTGCAATCTGTTAATTTGGAACCAAGTCTTCGTGACGCAATTTCAGGGATGCTTGCTGGAGGTAGAAGAAAGCAGCAAGAGGAGGAGGACGGGTGAGGAAAGGGGAGGGAGCAAACAGGTTGGAGGAGATCATGGGAGGGCTGGAGCTGAATAGGAAGGAAGCTGGTATATGGCCTTCTTCTCTCTCCCTCTGTCTCATTCTATGTCCCTCTCTCTGTCATTGGGTGGTGGGTGGCCACCATGTTCCCTCATCACAGACTTTGATCTGCATCATCTCTCTCTGGCGGGGTTGCATCAATAATGCACTTTTTCCCACACAGACACACACACACTTAGAAACATACAGGGAACACTGAGTGCAACCCACAGGCAGTGAAGTAAAATCCATTGTATATGTGTGCGTGCGCATACATGTGGCATGCTTGGTTAATCTTCTGCCCTATTATGCCAGCTGCTATTTTAGATCAGTGCTCGAGTGTTCATTATGTATGCCCACATGTGCTAATGAAGCTCTCTCGACTTGTGCTCTGTCTAAGGAACGTTGAAACTTTTCCTCTCAACAGTACGGTTTGGAGGACTCTGGAATGAACATCTTAAACTTTAGCCATTCTGCAGCATTAGAGAGGAAGGAAAAAACAACAAAAACACTGTGAGGACAAGGCAGTAAATAAAGTTCTAGATGAAAGTCCATTTTAGTTGCTGGCGTGTTTTAGGCATATTATAAGTTTTGATTGTTTAAAAATTGACGAAATTTTGGCAAAAGTTTCAGTGTGTATAATTTATAGACTAAAATAATCAATATAAAAGCACGGCTGTTAATCAAGTACTCAGTTTGTTGTCTTAACACCACATTTTACATTACAGTGCTATACACCTCAAAGCCAGTGTCAGCATACACAGGGTGAAATATACTATTACTATATTCTTCAGCAGCAGCTGGGTTTAATGCCACAATAGTCAGTGTTGTGTAGCAGTGTGATTAACCCATAAGAAATTCTTGCAAATTTTAGCTCTGTGTTTTGTTTTTGGTCCCTAGATTTTTCCTTTTTTTAACCATGTTGGTTGACTCCCGTTCCCTACAACTTTTTTTGTGGTTGCTGCATGCAGCTGTTATCGTTAAAAAGCAAGATTTTTCCCCAAGGCATTGGGAGAAACCACAACGGAGCTGAAATTGATGGTGAATATTAGACTGCTGTTATGTTTAAATTTTCATTATCTCTATGGAAATTACTGGGTAAAAAACAATAATTTTCTCCTGAGTTGCATATGGCCGACAACATCCGTCCCCTGTAGCATACCCAGCTTTATTGTGTATTTTACTTTATTTAGGACCATAATTAATAAATTCAAAAGGAGGATTAAATAAAAAAATAATTGGCCAAACATTTTTTAGAAACATGTTTACTGAGAAATTAAGTAGACTTGTTTTTGCAGCTTGAGGAGTTGCCCCCTGCTGGCCATTAGAAGGAATGCAGGTTAAAGGCACATAGTCCTTTCAAATATGCACTATATTGTAAAATGATTGTTAACAAATATCATATATTTTTGTGGATACTACTTTACTGTGTCATTCTACAAATTACAATCAAATTTCATATCACAGTAACATGGATGTGTTAAAACATGCATGCATTTATTCAGCAATCTTTTAGTTAGCATCCACGTTAAAGGTGAAAATGTCAAAGTACCGCTGAGCACATTTCACAACTGACATTCCCCTTTGAACCAGTCCTTTTAGGGAAAACACTCATTGCAGTACATAGTGGAGGTATGCAGGAGTGTTTTTAAATTCTTGGACCTGAAGAAAAAAATCTCTCTCAAAAAAAGGAAAGGAAAGCAGCAAATAAATTATCTGAAAGGAGCCAGGAAAGGGCATTCACACACATATGTGCACCGAGAGAGGGTTAGAAGGTGAGATAGATGGAAAAGGAGCACATAGTTTATCCTGAATAGTTTCTCTCTTTTATTACTGGTGTTGTTATTGCTGTTGCATTTGGACTGCTGCAGTTCATTTTCATTCTTATGACCAATACAGTGGAAAGAAAGTAAAT